CAAAAATGTACAATTACATTATACGAATCACTTTGTTATTTCATATTTATTAACTATTACATGACTTAACTTTTTTGTACAAATAAAACCATTTAAAAAAGTAGTACTACAAACCATCCCCGATAGGAAAAGGAAACTCACGTTCATATACTTAGGGCCGTTCTTACAATGTCCGGTAAAGTGTCGGTTAACGCTAACCGACTGATAACAGATTTTATTACCGGCAGAATTCTTCCGGTTAAGTGTCGTTTAACTTTAACCGGACGTCGTAAGAACGGCCCTAAATCAATTAATTCTAAAACCATGTAACCAAGGAAAAAAGTAAAAAAAAAATTTCTTTTCCAAAATATTTACCACATTATTTTAGAAATTTCAAATACTATACATTGAAACATGAAGTTCAATATAAATTATAAATTAATATTTAAGTATATTACTATAAAAATATTTTTAAAAATTTAACTATAAACTGTATTATAGTAATTATTGATAATACACTGTCTTTTATATGAATTTAAATTATGATATCCATGACGTATTATCGTATAGGTACCTAGGTAGATAATATGTATAATGATACAACAATACTTTTGTACCTATATGATAGGTACAATTTAGAGTAAAAGTCAGTGAGACATTCGTGACAGACACAGTCCGTCATCACGCAAAACTTTACGCCACCAGTCACCACTCACCGTCTCACCACGATGATTGATTAGGTACGCAATCTTCACGACCGTGTCCCGTTTATAATTTTGTATTTCTTAAAAGTTAAAACCAACATTTTTATTTTATACAACCACATTTTTGTTTTTAAATTATAGATTGAGGACCGAAATATATTATAATTTCTTATATTTTGGGCCACGTGCCCTTAATGCTAGCTCTCTGTCAAATCCGGTCCTGAAAAGTAGAAACTTTACAATAAGGATATTATAATGTATTACAATTTTGTTTTTAAAACCATTTTTTTTGTCGACGAATTAGGGTTAATAATTATTAATTATATTTACTCAACCCCATAGGACTAGGTCAAGCTATTCGGTCCGGCCAACGGGCAACGACCTGTGTCCATAATAATATACATCATGAGTGGGTGTAGATAATAAAATATTATACATTTATACTGCGTAGTGAGCAATACCATATTATTATATTTACGTAAACACGTAATAAACTATAATGGCATCGAACGGAATTTAGTAAATTTCAATTTCCTCATTCGGTCATCAGTCATAAGTAATATTAAAACATTAAAACAGTAACGTAAAACATTAATTATTATTATTTGATGAGCATACTTAATCTAGTTAATATTTATACTTTATGTTATTGATGATTAAAATAATTTAATATTTTAATCTATATTTATGTTATAAGATCATCTTTGTTTTACGAATAAAAGTGGAGAACTCAGTAAAATACGTGAATACACAAATTCACGGATTCACGTGAACATATTAATTCACGGATTCACGTGAATATAATATTTCACGGGTTCACGTGAATAATATTATAAATTCACGGACAATTTTAAGCAACGGGTTTCATAAATCGAACCTTTATTTCACGTGAACACGTGAAAGCGTGTACACGGGAAATAACGAGCACTAGTAATATTAAGTATTATTTTACTATAATATCTGCTCACCGTCTCTCTGACTCTCTCTCCCTAGTCTCTACCACGGCTACAGATAGCATATAAATATAAAATGGTTACACCATGGCATGCCTATCTACTACCTATAGTACCAATAGTACCTACTACCATAGTCCAATTATCTACCATGACAATATTAAATTCTTATTTGAATATGAAAAAGTTAAGTGCTACACTGCTACTGTGCCAGGCACTAATGTGCAATGTGCTATATACCAATAACAGCCGTAATCTCTACAAAGACTCAGAGGAGTATTATACCCACAAGATTCACTGACTTTTCACCTCACCCCTCATCGCTCCAAACTCATAAACATGCATATATTTATATACATGAATTATGAATACCTATACAATTTGACATTTGTTATTATTTTATTATTTAAACTAACTATTAACTACCTACATGGCTACATCATTAAATATTAATTAATATTAAATTATACTTTATCTTATCTTTGTTTGTAATTTATTATTTAAAAAAATTATCATATAATATAGAGGTGTCTGGTACCTTCTTAAAATTATTTTTTTCACCTCAGCAAAGTATGCATCAATTATAAGATGGTCACAATGTAAACTTTAAATTAGATAATCGACAAGTGACAACAAATTCTCTTCAATAATAGGTATTCAATATTGCTAACGAAATTTGTTGGAAGGTATGGTGGTTGTCCATAATATAAGTAATTTTTAATTTTTATTCTATAGAGGCAAGAAATCAAGAAGAAAAACGTTTAGTCAATTATTAGTCGTAGTGCAGTACAGTTATAAATTGTCAATTGCTGTACACTGTACAAATATAATACATTCAAATTTCAGATACTCCAAGTACCAACAGTTTCTGGTACACATCCGTTTTAGAATCTTTTCATATTAATATATACATTTAACGCACATATTTTATATTTTTGTATCATAATATTATACATTATTGTATATAGCCATATAGGAGAAATACATTTAATTTCATAGTCTAAACATTAGTCAATGTCCAATGGTCAGCAATAAATTTTGTTTAAAATATGCATATATATTCTGTTGAAAATGCTTTTGATATTTGCTATCCCCAAAATATTGTCGTTCTAGTCCCGGATCTGATAGAGCCTATATAATATAGTATATTATATTATTAATCTGAACACACGCCCTTCGACTAGATACTTGACATTTGTGAACTTGATTAACGGCATAAAAATAATATACTATCTATTGCTGTTATTACATCGTGTATCGGCTAGAAATCTCGATCGCGGTCTAAGGAACCCACACATCCCCGGTAGTAGCTGGTGCTCAGGGGAGGGGGATCGCGCCCGACCAACAGCGCGCGCGCCACAGTCCGACTGTCCGAGTAGGTATTGATTTAAAATTAGCCCGCCGGAGCAGTAAGTTGTCTCGAAAGATGTGCCGTCGCCGAACGGGATCGGCGTTCGGCACTCGGCAGCGGTCGTCCCGCGCGCGCGCTCTCGGCAGTCGGTGGTCGTCCCTCGCACGCGCGCTCTCTCTCGACGGTCGTCCGCGGTGCGCCGCCTCCTCACCACGCCGATCCCTTTTGCCACCGACTCGCGAGTCTGCTCCGGCGAGGCGAATAATATTATTGTTGTCGCGGCCGCCGCCACTGCTCCCCGTCAGTCGTCACGGCCATTGTATATACACATTGGCACATTGCACAGACGACGGCCGTCGTTCCGCGTACGCACTACGCGATTGCAATTATTTGCAACACGGAACCGGGAACGCTCTCTCCCTCCCGACCGCCCGCCCACCCAGGACCGACCGACCGACAGCCAGCCAGCCACACGACCGTCCCCCGCACGACGCGTTTGTCCGTCGTGTCCTTAATGAACGCAGTCACCACACACGGGCGTCATAGATGTTAATTGTCCTGTTAAAACCGATAGGGATACTATGTTCCTACATATTTAAAGCCATGGGACAAAGGTACGTACCTAATGCATAAATGTGTAGCAAGATATTGTATAATACAACATAATACAGTGTATCGACTGATGCCTCCCACCTACCCCATCAACACACTCACCCCAATGTCGTGAGGTTCATCCCCATTCCCCGTAACACTTTGACCATAGATTATTATTATACGTACCTTTATGAATACGCCCAACAGAGTATGTAGACTTGCCAATTGATGATACCTTTTTTTTTTTCTGACATCCGCAGCCTGGTCATTGGTTCTGAGCGGTCCGCCAGACGGAAGAAACAAAAAACTGATGGCAACCTACCCGTTGACACGCCGACCGTGTCACTCACGGCGGCTTCCATGACAGACCTAGACAACATTACTCAGCACCAGATAGTGTACAAAAAAGTATAACCACCATTTAGTAGCTCCCCCCCACCTCCATTGGAGTCTTTCTTTCACACTCAAACCTCATATTTTCAGATGGAACAACTGATGGACCGTATGCAGGATGAGAACACCGGCATTCCTGTGCGTACTGTCAACAAGTTCAGAGCTAAAGTGCCTTCCGTGTTTACCGGTAAATGTCTAACACATTCATGTTATTTTACACTCCAGCCAATATTAATGATATGGTTTATTTAAAGGAACTGATTTGATATTATGGATAATGAAGAATGTGGATGTTGACGATCAAGGTAAAAATTCAGTTGGTTGTATAATAGGCAATGCAAATAAATGCAATAAGACATTATTAGTAATATTATTATACTTATGCATTTTAGTTGAAGCATTATACTTTGCAAATCTATTGTCCTCTCACGGTTACTTGTTCCCAATTGATGATCATTTTCTGAATGTGAAGAATGATGGATCTTATTATCGTTTTCAAGTAAGACATTTATGACATTTAATTAACTAAATAGTGATCTTACAACTGTTGATGATAAATATAATAACATGTATACATTAACATTTAAAAGTAAATTAGGTACTTAGATAATGTTGAACATAAATAAACATTTACTATAAAACATAATATTATTAGCAGTAGTTTTATTAGTAAAGATTAAAAGACTGAGACTTGGTGATTTTTCATGTTTCATGAATAATAAATTCAGGCCAATAAATAAAATTGAAAATATTGTACAATATGGTACAATTACGCATCTAATTCAGTATATCATTGTTAACAATGAAATTCAAGCATTAACCTTTTATGATCATAAAATATATAGTATTAAAATTGTATTGATCGTATTGATATATTATTATGTCTACTTAAATTATATACCATAAATCTTATTAAAACAAGTTAAATTTTAAATATCAAATGTTATTCCTTGAGGAAGAAATGTGTTTCATTTGATCTGCTTATACAAAAAAAAAAAATATCTCATTTATTGGAATAAAAAAACATAAAAATTGCAACATTTAAAATTTGTCTTAAATCCTTTTGACCGCCTACCAAAGTACAATAGCTTAACATACCTACAATAAATCATTAAATCATAATTATTAATTACCTACATTAAGCATAGGTATACAACTATAGGTGGTACATTTTGATAAAAATTTAGATACATTTAAATTACTTATTATAATAATATATAATTAGGTAGTTAATATTAGTAAATAATTAAGGCATTTATTATAGTATAATGTATGACTTTTATTGAAATATTTTCACTTATTTATTACAGACTCCTTATTATTGGCCATCAAATATATTCGACCCTGAAAATACCGACTATGGTAAGACTGTAAAATATGAATTTGTTGTGTATTTTATAAGGAATAACTCCTTTTAAGTTCATTAATTCAGTTTTTGTTATTAATATATTTTTTTCTTTTTCAAATAATGGGACTCATTATTTTTAATGTAGATTAATAAAGTACTTTTATTTTTAGCTGTATACCTGTGCAAAAGAACAATGCAAAACAAAACACGTTTAGAATTGGCTGATTATGAAGCTGAAAACTTAGCAAAACTCCAAAAAGTTTTATCTCGAAAATGGGAATTTGTATTCTTACAAGCAGAGGCTCAAAGTAAAGTAGACAAGAAACGAGACCGCATGGAAAGAAAAATATTAGATAGTCAAGAACGTGCATTTTGGGACGTACATAGACCAATGGTAATTACCAGAATTACTTTAAAGTTTTAAACCATACAGCATAACATTTGAATTTATTTACAGCCTGGTACCATTATAACAACAGAAATTGACTACAGGAAATTAAAGAGGTATAAAGAATTAGCTACTCTAGCTAATGGAGACATTGCTAACTTACTACTACCTATTCAGATCCCAATAAAAACTAACATTGGTAAACCTACTATTGAATCTATAAAAAAAGATATAACTGCAATGCGGCTAAAGCTTGATCGCCGTAATATAAAACTATCAAAAATCGCAGACACGTTAGTATTGATTCAATTCATATAATAATTGTAATATACAGTGCACTGACTATCTAAAATTTTTCTTCTAGATACATTACCTATTTTGAACAGTATGCAGAATATGATCCATTTTTTACACCTCCAGAATTTAGCAACCCTTGGTTATTAGATAATGTTGAAGTATGGGATTGTGACAAACATTCGTGCGTAATTTTATTGATTGTTTAGTTTATTAGAAACAATTAAAATTTTAAAAATAGTTCTATGTTTTCATACAGGAAAGAAGTTACAGTGCGTCGAATAAAACGATGGGCATTTAGTTTAAAGGAGCTTCTAGCTGATCCTGCGGGAAAAGAACATTTTACAAAATTCCTGGAAAAAGAATTTAGTTGTGAAAATTTAAAGTAAGAATAAATGCCGTAATATGTGTTTGATAATAGTTAATGAGTATAAAACAGTCCTTATAAATATTTATTTTCCCTTAAAGATTTTGGGAAGCAGTACAAAATCTCAAGAAATTGCCACAACGTGAAGTACCTGAAGCTGCCGAAGAAATCTGGACAGAGTATTTAAGTGGTGATTCATTAAACATTGACTCTCAGTCGAGAGAATTAAGCCGAAAGAACATGTCCGCTCCTGATAGATGGGCATTTGATATTGCTGCCGTATGTAATCGCACATTTTCATTATGTAAGATTAAGAATGGAGTTCAAGACATGATAAACAGAAAATAGATCTTCCAATTTAGTTAGAAACTAGTTAGTGTAGAACTTTAAAAGTTTATATTATATGTTAACTGTTATTAATCAGGTTCATGTTTACCATTTAATGAAGAGTGACAGCTACCAGAGGTATATAAGATCAGAAATGTATAAAGAATATTTAAATACTTCCAAGAAAAAGGTAACCATTTTGAATTTTTTTCCCCATTTTTTATTTTTTATTTATTATCTTGTAAGAATTTGATTTGATTTGATTTTTTACTATTTTCTAGACTTCCATGAAAGGCATTAGGTCTATAGTATCATTTTCTGGAAAAAGAGATATTTGCCCATCGTGATGGTATGCGTACTTACATTATTCAAAGTACCTTTTCAATACAGTTCAAATATTTGAAATATTATTTACTTTTTTTATATATAAATTATAAGCAATTCATTTTAATTTTTATAATTTAGGCGGTTAAATTATTATTTTTTATATAATATGTATAATTTGTAGGCATTTGCAACTTTTTGGTTCTATAATTACAAATTATTATAAACAATTATTGTTGTGAAATTGTTAACTATTAAGTCATTATTGTATGTTTGAGGCAATTTATGTTCCTATAAAATTGGTGACATTTTTTATACATATATTTTTGTTGTACAACTGTTACAAATTTTAATAAATATTATATATTTATTGTTTTTAATTGTATACATGTTTGTTTAAATTTTTTTTTATTATGAAATTTGTGTAGGTACCTATGATATTGTTATTGATTAGTCAAATTTAAATTATTATTAATGTGTTGAATTGTATAAATTTTAGATCTACTTATACCTCGGTAATTAAGCAGAAGTCCATTAAACGTTAAACATGTTATTATTATGCATTATGTTTAATTTGTTGAAAATAATTATGTTTACGTCATTCTTTTTGACTGTAAATAATAAGTGTTCATTAAAACCACAGGAACAATAACATGAATAACACCAAATAACAGTTCAACATTTTGAAAATTATTATAATATATTACATTCTATTAAGATTAACACAATTAAATGGTCATCTATGTAGTATAATACATAATGAACAGTGCTGGACAAACTGCCGGTGCAAACTGTGCCCCCAAAATTATGGAAATCGATACATCATAATTCTTAAAAGGCATAAACATAAAAGAATAGTACCTTGTGAAGATGACTTAAATATTGTTTTAGAATTATAATAGCATAAAGAATTATTTGGGAAGAACTATTAACTATTAACTTTTATGAAAAGAACTATTAACTAAATATTTATTTTAAATTGTATACATTGTACCTAATTAATAATTAATTTGTTTTTTAATTAAAATAAGTAAGTACATTAATGGCATTTTTATTTAAGGGCCCCCTAATTTTTTTTTTTTCACAGAGTCGACGAGCACAGTTCATAAATTAAAGAAAAAAACGTGATTTTTGGAAACACTCTTTATGGTTTAAATGTATGGTAAAGAGAAATAACCATTCTTAAAATTGTTTCTTTAAAAATAGTATAAAATACCTATAGATTACATTTATAGTTTATACTAATTTATAGGCGTAAGAAAAAAAAACAGGTAAATAAGTGTATAATTGTTATAATCAACTCAAATACATCAATTTTATAAATTGTACAGTGGAAGTTGAGGAAAATAGTAACTACTTACTAATCGAGTTCAGATGAGAAATTTGTAAAACAAGCAAATTGGTTAGCAAGATTATTATTATGCTTTGGTTCAAATGAACATTTGTGGACATTAAGTAATTTTTTTGCTAGTTCCTCCATGATTTCACCTGAAAAATTAACAGGAAATCATTTTTTAACTATAGTTGAAGACATGTTAAATCATAAAATAATTTTGTGATGCTAACCTGTACACAATATAACATGTTGTTTTGTTAAAGATTTTGTAGTTTGCAATGATTTTGTCAAACATTCTTCAGAAAGAAATGGTGGGTCAACAACGACTAAATCAAAACTGTTCAATAGTTCTTCATCAAATTTCATTGGTTCATTATAATCATAGAAAACATAATTTGAACCATAAACACTAAACCTTTTGTCAAACTCAAATAGTTTAACTAAAAACGGAAAAGTTTAAATATAAGTACATTACACCGTGTGTCCGCAAAAAACAGGGTAGACTGTGTAATTAAATTACCCATATTACTCAGTACCCTATGCATATTTTTTAATTATATTTGCTGGGCATGAAGACTATTGGATTATCAACCTTCCTCAGTCAGAATTCTAAAATATGTATAGGGTACTGAGTAATGTAGGTAACCGAGTTATAGTGTACCCAGTTTTTTTAAAATACACGATATACTACTATTATTGCACATACTTAACATTGTGGGTGCTTTTTTCTTAAAGGTTTTATACAATGTAGGGCATGATATCAACGCTACACTACCATTTGATCCAACCATTTTATGTACACATTCAACGATTTGTTCACATGTTTTTTCATCATACCAAAATTGGCTTAATTGCTGCAACAAACCACTACATTTATGTAACAAACAATAAATTAAAAAACAAACAATTCAAAATAAATTGCCATCTTACCCAATCTTCATCAAATTTTACATCTGTTGCATCTTTATCATCACAGTGAGATAACAATTTTTCGTTTTGTTCTTCATAAAACTCTTTTAAAGCTCTCTGCGCTTCGGCTGAAAGTTGTAATGCATCTAATTCATCGTCAGAGCTTGACATATTTTTAAAAAAAAATGTAAGAACTTAACTTTAAGTAATATACAATTTTTGAAAATTCAAAATGATAATAGGTTTAAATCACCGTTTAACGAGTGTGAAGTTGACAATTTACGGACCCATATATTTGTCAAAAAAAACCTGCTATAGAATTAGATCAATCGAAATTATACAGAATTCAAAATAGCCAAAAAATAAATCGTAGTTAATGGTTACTATTAAGAACAAGCATACTGAAGTCTGAAATACTGAATGCCCGAAGCCCTGAATGTAAATTGTAATTTGTAAACTGATATCACCATTTATCACGGACTAAGATAGTGATATCAACACTGTTCCGTGATATCATCATAAAATGTGCGTTATCAGTAGAACCGTAGGTCCGTGCTCCCTCCACCCACATGTGCGATGATTACAGACTGAAAGTGATCACATTTAATTTTTTTTTACTGGCCAAAGCGGGAAAGCCAAACAATTAAGCTCAAAACATTCAAAAGACAAAAGTCAAAATCAAGGGTAGGTACACTATATCAACACACATTGCTCAAAAATCAAAACCTTATATTAAAATTCTCTACTTTAAAACTACAGATTTGAGTTTTCTAATATTTATTATTTTGTGTTCACGTTTCTAATAAATCAGTTTTCTTTGATACAGATCGAATAAACTCGTATATAGGTGTCTATATTAAATAATAATGATCGAACCAGAATTGTTTAATTTCAAACCGCCTTTAAATAAACACGAGTATGTACAAAAGCATTGGGATAAATTATTATCAAATATAGACGAATGTGGACTTACCCATTCTGTAAGTATTTTAATGATCGCTTAGTTAGTTTGTCTGATGTTAAAGTAAAATGAAATATTATTTATGATTGATTCTAATATGTTTTAGATATCGGTTGTTTTGCCCGACACAATTTTCATTCCAAATTACATTGAAAACATATTTACTGAAAATGGTCAATACTATCTAATAAAAAATGTTACTTTGTGCTCATTAATAGATCCTGGATTTATCTCATCTTTTGTGAAAAATGGTATTATTATTTATTAATTATTATTGCATAACATGTACTGTTCAGTGTTTTAGTTATTATATACCTACAAACATCTATAAAAAAAAAAATACAATCTTAAAGTTTCACATTATGTCATTGTATAAGTTTTTTTCATGTGGTGTTGTTACAATATAATGAATGCATAATGCAACGTATTCAATGGTGGTTTCAGAATTATTATAAATTGATAATTCTTAATTCTTCATTTTATACAAGATAGTCATAATTGTTATTGTATAAATTAAGTTGTATTTTAATTGTTAAGGAAATGTTTACGCCATATCTCTGAATACTCAGATTGATGCTGAAGACTGTATTTCAATAACAAACGGAAATTTACTACAAATGTCTTTAATTCAATCTTCCTATCAGAATATGTGTCTACCAGCAAAAGACTCAAGTAATTTTAGTATTTCTATTGTATTTCTAGGTATTAAATTAATATTTAACTTATAATTCTAAAATGTTATTAATTTTGTTGTTTATAGAAATTACATTGGATTTAAAAGAATTAAAATTTAGTAGTAAATCTTATCAACGTATCAAGGAGAGTTTTGAACGTTTTCAGACCAAGTTTGACATGCTTATTAGCTGGGAATCCAATAGTAAGCAATTTGTTGACTATATTAAATATGTATATTTTATCAAAATATATTTTAGATGACGATGTCTGTCCTTCATCAATAGCTTCATACTTTAGCAAAAATGGATTTGACTGTCAAGGATGTATACCCCGATCAACTACAACTAGAAAATATAATATGACCATCCCAACAGGCATTGATAATTTTGGACTTTTAGATACTTGGTTATCGTATTTTTCCTTAGACATAAATATGTGAGAATATATTTTATTTAAGACATTTTGTTTTATTATTACTTATTATAAATAATAACAGAAATATGGCACATGTTTTATTTGTGCCACTATTGATGGTATTTAAGTTACCCAAACCAAATTCTGAATATTTATTACCCTGTTTTAGTAATCGAACCAGAGAAATAACAAATAACATCTAAAATAATTTGATTTTATTGTTTGAGTGTTTGCATTTGTATACATTTTTTTTTATTCATATTAAATATTTATTTTTAGCTTGAATTCATGTAGTATTACAATAAATAAACATTACAGATTTTTAACTTTTTAGCGATGATAGGATACCAAGTATTTTACCTGATGGAAAGTTAACAAAATCAAATTCTCGTAATGTTGGTCAAGTAACTCAAATTGTCTGGACAGGGTTTTTTGATAATCAAAAAGTAAAGCTCTTGTTAGAAAAGTTCAAGTAAATATTAGCTAACACTGTTAGATACCTATATTACTGTTTAATTATTGATATAATATATTGCAGGGAATTTCAAGAAAAGGAAGGCAAGATATATTGGATGGCCATTCATTTGGAACCGTTTACAAATTCTCCATATCCTTACACTCATCGAACAATTGTATTAAACCCCGATAGTAAATATTTCATATCGTATTGTAGAAAATGCAAAAACTATTAAAAATTTGTTTTGAATTAAAAAGTATTTTTATTGTTCCATATATATGGTATATAAATTGTTTTGTTGAGAATGTATACAGGGTGTTGCATGATAAATGTGTCAAACTTCTAGAGGGGTTTCTACACCTCAAATGAAACAAAAAAAGTCCTTATGACCATAATCGAATTATCAATAATAAAGATAATAATTTCCATGTTTGTGTTTTTTTGGTTAAACTCAAGTTTGATTCATAATAATGTTCATATCTGCTAAACCAAAGGTACTACAATTAATTTGAATACATTGATGAAAAGCTCATAAAATTGGGATTAGGTAAACATATTTTACAAGGTTCTCCGCCTGATTGTTTAGGTAAAATGAATAACACAAATTTTTTATAACTTTAAAATGTTGACATTTTAAAAAATTTCAGTTTTATTCAACAACAATTATTTTTTAAGGCAGGGGTCATAAGGACTTTTTTTGTTCCATTTGAGGTGTAGAAACACCTCTAGAAGTTTGACACATTTATCGTGCAACACCCTGTATATAATATATACATAAGGTGATATTAACTTTTTTTTATTAACTTTCTGATGTGAGATATTACAGATAAAAAGAGATGAGTACAATGTGTTCATATTGTCCATAGTTTTCCACCAGTTGCCGATTGATGCCATAGACCTATAAACTAATGGACAGCGTATAGAGAGAGCAATCACCAAACATGATTGTCGAGAGAGAAAAAACATGTTTTATGCTATATGTTTTTGCACGCTATAACGGATCAAACCCTCTCTTTTCTCTCTACAAAACCCTCATCTGATTTATCTCATGCCCATTAGTTTATAGGTCAATAGTAATGGTTGGTCACTGGCGGAACACTCTGGACCCCATCATTCATCAATACAATGTACTTGATTATATTATTTACTGTAATACCTATACTATATATAAATAATAAATATAATTTATAGTGTATATTATTCTATTATTTTATTATTATTATCAATAGAAAATGTATGTTTAATTTCAAACTCAGATTATGGTTGTATCATAATTCATTGCAAATATTTAAATATTTTATCGGGCAGGTAATAATATAGTGTCTAATTCAAAAATATACTGGCAAAAATTACAACCTGGATACATTAAGAGTATACTTGTTGTCTCCGTCTTACCAGTGCGTAAAATAGCAAATTTACATTCAACAGAACACTTGTAGCTTCGACGTGAATTGACCTACCTATTGGCTATTATGAAACTTCATGGTAAGAACATTATCACGCACTTGTAAGACGGAGACAACAAATACCAGTGTTACGTCCTCTTAAAGATTAAAATATAGATATAGAACTGTATTGATTTGTTTTGAAATGTGTAATAAAAAGTTCATCAGTTAACATCGAAAATCTGGTTTTTCGGGAGTACAAAGTTTTTTTTACATTTTTAATGGTTTATTTTTGACCTGAATACGGCTCTCTATAAATATAAAATATAAATATAAATACGAGATTTGATCACAGGCCGCATGATATAAGAACATATTGTATTTCTCGTTTGTTTGTTGCAATAAATTATACTTTTAACCTTAATTTTAAGATGACGTGGATGACGTATTGATGTGTTATTATAATACATCTTTTTAGATTCCCGCCATAAAAATATCTAGGTTTATCATAATTTACATTTTGTAAACGATCACCTCCTAGATGAGAGCATTTCGGCCATTCTGTCAGCTTCATAATTATTTCATTGTAGATCTTCTCTACATCGTGCATTGTAGGAATGGGGAGTAATTGTTTATTTAGTATTTTTTATATATCTGTGGTTTTGGTCCTAATTCCCGCTCGTGGTCACGGCTGTCTTCGTTGTTCGTGCAATTTGGACATTTGTTTGTATATTCTTTACAAAAGAAAACATATTTCATTGTTTTTTACAATTACTACCAGCCAAACTGCGCTGCTGAAGATGTCAGCACCTGTGTTTAACATAAAGCTTAACATAAACTTTTGGTTACTTATGTCGTATACTCACTTTTCAGTGGTATACGTCTATCGACACTAGAATTACCAAAATACCATAAATTAAACGGTTACAGTTTGGCTCTCCAGACGTCGATATCGCTACCTTACTGTTTAGACTTTCAATATTCAACGACCATAAATTAACCGGTTACAGATCAGATTGAAAGAATACAATTAACGTAGGACTATTTTCACCGTTATACCTTAAATCGTCAACGACCATAAATTAACCGGTTACAGATCAGATTTAAGGAGTACGTAGAATTGTGTGGCTACTCAAACAAAACATATAATTTTCGGGTCGGAAACACTTTTTATAAACTTATATGAACAAACACAAAATTAACAATTAAATGTATCTCGCAGTATTGACATACATTTTACAATTTAGCTGCCTCAGCACATTTGCTTCCCTGGCTTACTTTACAAATATGATAATTATTTTGTTTATATACATAGTCACCTATTACTACACTTACATCTGATATTCATATTATGCATGGGCATAATTTTTAAGAAAAATAACTCAAACTTAATTTATAATATTGATTATAATCAATATTATAATAAAAATTACATTGACATTCTGATTAACATTTTTATTATTTTATTGGTATCAATTCATTAATATTAATCTATATCCAATAAAAAAAAATATTGATTGAACATATCAAATCTAACCAGAAATAAAGAAATTTTTTTTCGGAGAAAAAATCTATTCTTAATGAATACCTAATGTAAAGAGTACCTATCTAAATATTGAACAAAAAAATCAATATTGAATCTAGGGGGAAAATAAAAAATAAGAACATTGTAACAATATATCAGGACCCTTATATTAATTTTTTACACTTTTTGGCCCAACAGATAAAACTTTATTGATATTTATAGAAAAAAAAAAATTGAAAACTGACAATGTCCATCAGTGGCGTACCCAGGATTTTTTTATGGGGGGGTCCTAAATTTTTATTTTATCTGTTCTCTAATTATAATTATAGTTTAATTCATTACCAACATATTACTGTTAATAACTATAATATAGTTACAATAGTTAATAGTTATACACACACTCACAGCACATATACAGAAAGGTTTATAACAATAGGTATAGGTACTATAATTTTAAACAATTTTTATTTGGTAATAAAATGTTATAAAAATTACATTATTTAACTTATAATTATTTTAAAATTTTAATCTCCTGTTTTTTTTTACAAGTTCCTCAATTATATCATCTGGTGTTAAGATTTCATTTCGATGAATATTAAGCATTGCAAGTCCATTTAGTCTGTCTTCCGATACAGTATTTCTGAGATATGTTTTAAGATTTCTTAATGAAGAGAAACTTCTCTCAGAAGTACATGTCGTGACTGGTAATATACATAATATTTTTATTAACTTGTATATATTTGGGAACAAGTCTTCATCACAAAATTGTAGACATTGTATTACAGTTTTTGGCTTTTGATCTTCTTCAGTTCTTTTTAAGACATTTTTCCACATTTTAATTTCTGCTATTGCAATATCAGGTTCACTTAAATTATCCGAATCTTTATAAAAATCTATCAATTGTAAAATGTCGTTATTATTATTGTCCAATTCATTTTTAAATAACATTTTAAAACCTTTTAAAACCAATTTGTGTTCAATAAAACGACTATTTATTTGATCTAAAAAGTAATCCAAAAATGGTATAAATATTGATATTTTGAAGTATTCTTCTGGAGATTTACTAATTATGTTACAGCGATTGATTTGACGCTTACAGGTCCTTGGAATACAAATTTGTATAATATGGACATTGTCCATAAACAGCTCAAAAAGAGTCAACATATTTTCAAAATGTTATGGCGAATAGAAAATGAAAATATAATCATTCAGTATAATTTTAATTTAATATGTGGTCACACTGTCACAGCCGTGTTGATAACGTTATTTATTATCTTATCAATTGTATTCAAATTTCAAAATTCCAAAATAAATACAAACACGATCGTGTAAAATTTGTAAGATATTTATTGTTTTCTGTTTGTTAACATTTTTCGTGCTATTAAAAATGCCTTTAATATTGATGGTTGGTTTACCGAGTAGCGGCAAGACGACGAGAGCTCGTGAAATTCAAAAATTCTTTACTGAGCAACAGCACAGAGAAGTTGTCTTAATATCGGATAACGAAATTATATCAAATATGAATATAGACAAGAATGTTTTGTATTTAGGTAGTTATAAATTAATTAATTCATAAGAATATAATACACCATTTTACATTATTGTTTTAGAATATGGACGGGTATGAGTAAATTATTAGATTCCATTGATCAATGCCGGCATTGATTTTAAATTGTAAATTTGTTTTTTTCATCAGGTTTGCTGAATCTGTGACAAAATAAAATATTCTAACATAATATGAGTCAGTAATTTGGATACTAAATAATTGTATTAGTATTAATTAGTATTATAATTATATATTTTGTTGACTTGCAATATTTATGCATGTAAATAATTAAATGTAATAATATTTACAGAAATGAAGAAAGAAAAAGATCTCCGGTCAAAATTGCATTCTGATGCCTTAAAGTTAGTTTATGAATACTATTATAGTATTATATTATTTTGTATTTAATGTTATGGATAATGGTACATTAATTCAAGGAATTTGGTCTGTATTCATATAAATTGAATCAGTTAGTTATATCACTGTTCTGTGGTTATATTTATGTACCTACCTAATGATAATTTATGTTATAAACTCAATTATAGGAATTATGGACTTGTTATATTTCGATTGAGTCACAATAAAATACAATATTCTAATTACCATTTACCCATTGTTCCTAAATTCCGCCATAATGTAATTATTTTTTTCAACTGTTTGTAGGAGCTTAACAAAAGAAAATGTTGTAATATTGGATTCTGGAAATTTTATTAAAGGTATGTAAACTACATAATGTTTATTTTGTATTTTTATTTATTAATAAATAATAATATTGTAAAGTCAAATGTTAGTAATTTAAAACTTTTCATTTGTTAGGATTTAGATATGAATTGTATTGTTCTTCTAAAAGTTTGAGTACACCAAAGTGCTTAGTGGTGTGTGATATTTCAACTGAAAAAGCTTGGGAGCTAAATGAAAACAGACCTGAACAAGAAAAATATGTAAGGAAAACATTTAATGATCTTGTTATGAGATATGAAGAACCAAATCATTCAAATAGGTTAGTTAAATGAAATATTTTTAGTTATGTATATTAAATAAGATGAATGTGTATTTAGATGGGATTCACCATTGATAAATTTACAATTGGACGACACTTTGCCTGCTGAAGAAATCCGAAAAGCAATTTTTGAAGTCGCTGCTCCTGTACCAAATCAATCGACAATAAATGTAAGGACATACTAATGTAGAACCCAATCTATAATATTGATAAATTATTTAATCGGTAATATTTTAAAATAACATAAATGTTTTGAAGCCAATTTCAATCCTAATTTTTAATAATATTTTCATCTAGTTTTATTATTCAAATAAATACCATTACGAATATTATAAAGTTTGTCATGTCAACTATCAAACACAAAACATTTCCATTTTAAGTATTTACATAAATAATAAAATTAAATATTTTTAATTTATTCTTCTTATTTTTTTTAAAAAATAATTAACTACCCATTTCTTAAATGTTGAAAAATTAAAGTTTAAACATTAAATATTAATCAGTAAACTATCATTATTTAATATTTATTTACTTTTTAATCATGTAATTTTCTTAATAATGAGGAATGTTTTTTGAAATGTTTAGAATTTTTTTTAAAATTATTTACAAAATTGAACAGATAAAGAAACTGCACCTTGTCATCAACCTTAGGGTACTGTTAGAATTATTTTAATTATGTTGTGTTTTATTTTTAACAGGCACCATTAAATTCAAGTTCATATTTATATGATTTAGATCAAAAAACACAAGAAGTAATTAACGTAAATATAAAATTATTTTAAGTAAATATTAGTACATTTAATCAAAAAATAAGTTTAGAAAATTATTATAGTACCTATATTAATTAATAATAGTTTTTATGTGTTTTTTACTCTGTGTTTTATAGTCGATTATACAGTTGAAGAAACAAGGCGTGGAAGGAGAGAATATTGAATTAGTCGATTATGAAGGGAAATATCTGAACAAATTGGATAAGAGTATCTCATTAGTGCAGCTTGCAAAGTCTAGGAAACAGTTTTTATCGTATGCCAAAAGCCATGTTTCAATTACAAATGACCAAACAAATATTGTTAATATGTTTATACAGTTCCTGAATAAGTCTGTTACTTGTTGAAAAACATAATTATTATTTATTTATTCATTGGAGGAGGTAAGACCACATGATTCTCCTCTATATTAATTATGATGACATAATGGCATCTTGTTTTATATTTGCCTGCCCACTGTGAGGAGCACGTTATGTACAAAATGTACTCCTATAGAATGGATGGATCTTTGTAAGGACGATTTGGGACCAAGTATTGTAGGTTGAGATTCACCATTTAAAGTTTTTACTGTGTTTCACCCAGAATTTTAAATATTGAATTGACAACTGCATTAACTAATTTGTTTCACTTATTTGACCTTATATTAGATAACCTAACATAACTGCATTTGTGATTTATTTAAAATTGAATATGGTCATCCTAACACCTATTTTACATTACATAATATCATTGATTTTAATTAGTGTTCAGTATTTCAGTACTAAACTATTTATTATCAATGGTTATATTTGATTGTTTGTATTGTTAATAAATAATAATTAATAAATAATAATTCTATAAACTACATATTTTTTTATTCCATTTGTACTAAAGTTGTATACATTTGTAAATTATAAACGTATAAGCTTATTATTTGTTAATATTATTTATTATTTTACAAATAGGTACTTGGAATATTTTTGCAGATATTCCAGTGTTTATTATTAAACTACATAGACAATTATTATGATTTTATGAATATTAATTGACAATTATTATGATCAGGGGTCGGGACTTAAAGCATTTGCTTATTTTTATAGATTGACTTAAAATGTAGCAGAGTGCTATAGAAGTGTATGTCATGTTACAACACATTCAATTATGAAATTTGAGTGCTTTTTTTTGCTTTTTTCAGTGATTTTTCAAAAAAATGCTTATTTCAAGTTTTTCTGATAATTATTACTTTTTTGACCAGTTTTTATACTTTTTTATGATTTTCTACTGCAAAGTTGTTTTTGATAGAATTAAAATTAAAAATAATTTAAATAAAAAAATTTATTAAAATTTATTAAAAAATTAATTTTTCAACTATTTGTAAATATTGTGTACATTTTATTTTTCATAAAATCCCTTGGAAAATTTATAAAATCTTCAGTCCTGAAAATGAAGTTTAATTTTTTTTATAATATAAAGATAAAGTTTTTTTTTATTTTATTGTTTTTTTTTAAATAAATATTTTTGTTTAAATTTAAGTTTTTTAAATGCTTATTTGAGTGCTTATAATGATGTTTTTAAGTGCTTATTTAAGCGCTTATTTTAATGATTTTAAGTGCTTTAAGTCCCGAGCCCTGATTATGATATATAAGGATCTATTAACTGTTAATTTTAAATGCATATAATATAGGACATAGGTAATAATTAATTAAATTTCATGTGTTAACTGACTAGGTACTTTTATAAACATTATTTCCGAATTTATTATATTTAATTTCATCACACAATCCTGTCCAGTAAAAAAAAAATCTGAATCTCGTAGCAAGTTGTGTAATTTTTATTACACAACATTGATGGGGGAACATGACCCTACTATGTTCCTACTTCCTATTATGTTGTTAGTAGTTTTAATTGAACTTATAAACATTAATTTCAGTGTAAGCCCATAGCCAAATACTTCAAAAATAAATTGTTTTAAAGTAGTTGATCATTGAAACAAAACAAAAATAATATTTAATATGCAATTTTAGGTTAATATGAGTACCTACTACATAAAAAGTACCTACCTATATGACAAAATTCAAAATTTAAGGATATTATTAAACAAAATAACATATTATGAGTAATTAAGTCACAGATCATAGTAAATTGTAGAATATTTTGTAGATTAGATACTAGATACTTAATAAAGTGTTTGAAATCTAAATAATCCATTCATACAAAAATAAAATTGATAAATGCAAATTTTGATTAACCATTTTATTTTAATTACAACGCATATAAATGGTAAATATAAATATCTAAGTATATAAAAATGAAAATAAAGTTTTTGAATACCTAACCCATTTCAGATGTTCATTATCTTGGTTGTACCGTGTTTTCTTGAAAAAAAAAAAAATAAATGTTCTGTAGGGACAGAATATAATTTGTACAGTGTCGGATCCGTGGAAATGAAAGGAGCCTTCCCACTCCCCAGAGCTCACATCTAATGGTAACCTAATGAAGTCTGTTAGGTGTAAGGACTAGAGTAACTAAAGATTTTTCATTTGCCATTTATATATAAAATTTTCCATATTTTTTTTTTACCATTTACCATTCCACTTTCCATTCCAGTTACCATTTTCCATTCACAAAAATTTTTATAAATAAATAATAATGGATCAAGCAACACTAATCAAATTGATGAGAAAATATGATTTCATAAATAATACGAAAAAATCTTTTAGGGAGAAATATAATATAAGCTTGAAAACTATTAATTAGTATACCTAATAAAATATGATATCCCTCATAGAAGAAATCTGAATATTATAAAAATTAATCGAGATAAAAATGGGAGATTCACTTTTGGTATTTTTGAAAAACCTAAAACTAAAGTTTTATCATGTTGCAATGATAATAAAATTGTTAAAGATTCTACAAGAAAAGTTTGTATCGATTCAAATAATAATCTAGTCATAAAAGCAGATAAACAGAAAGAAAATCAAAATAATGAAAAGTTTGATTATATTTCATTTATTGAGGACTTAGAAGAATTCAACTGAGTACTCAATTTTACCGAACACGGTTTTTCCTATTTTGCGGCGAATAGGTTTTTTTAGCCCAGTTCGGTCCATGTGATATTGGACGATTGCGGATTGGAACAAGAAATCGGGCTTCCTACGTTTCTAGAAAAAATTCTCCTCTACAATTTTTTTAATAGGTATTTATACTGTAAAACGCTTCAATAAGTCATATTCCTGGGATTACGAAACCATGTTTTTCGGAAAAAAAAAACGTTTAATTAAGCTCGTCACGTGCTGCTCCAGTATAGACAGCGGCAGCGCTCGGTGTTCATACCACCACCCCGCCCGCGATAACGGCACCATAGGTCAAAACAAGTTTTCTATCTCAATTCTCAGCAGTGCGCCTGAACATAGTTTATAAATACCCAGATAAGAAGACGATTATTATATAATATTACATTGTGGCAAATATTATTTAATTTTATTCGGTTTTATATTTTGTATTCGTATCCGAATTTTATACTAATAAAAACTATAATTTTGTTCTTCAAATAATACGGCTTGTTGAAGTGGTTTACAACAAAACTACCTATTATAACAATTGTAGAGGAGAATTTTTTTTAACAATCGTAAAAAATCCGATTCTTGAAATCGTATTCCAATCGTCCAATATCGCATGGTATATTAACACGGTTTTTTAACTTTTTATCGATTAATTATTCGACTAATTAATAAAAATATCAAAAATCGGGCTTCTTACGATTGTTAAAAAAATTCTTCTCTAAAATTTTTATTATAGGTAGTTTTGCTGTAAACCAATTCAATTACTCGAATTACGAAACCATGTTTTTATGCCATATTATATTGTCTACTATTAAAGTGTGATACTCTTTGTATCCAAATTTTATACAAATAAAAACTACCTATACTTTTGTTCTTCAAGGAATATGGCTTGTTGAAGGAGTTTACAACAAAACTACCTATTATAAAAATTGTAGAGGAGAATTTTTTAACAATCGTAAGAAATCCGATTTTTTAAATCGTATTCCAATAGTCCAATATCGCACGGTAAATGAACACAATTTTTTTTTATAAGTTTTTAAAGTTTAAATTTTGATAACATTTATCGCATTTAAAATTTAATAAGAATTTTGTAGTTAAAAATTTATAAAATGTTCAACTTTTATAGCTAAGGATTGAAAATTTAAAACAAGGTTTCACGTAAATAGATTATATATAAATTATTTTATTCACAATAATATCATCAAATATACTATTAGCAATATCATAGGCTGACTGACCGTTTTCGTTAATCGTTTTTCTTATACAAATACAATGATATTATATCATTGAATTCAAATTTAATACCATCCATAATACAGTTACCCACTTGTAACCTACTGTACAGCAGAGTACCTTTTTTAATACTAAAATATAAAATCATTGTATAAGAACGATTCTGAGCAGAGACGGTATGTCAGTCTAGGTATAAGACATATTATATACTTATCTATGGTAATAAAAAAAATTGACCTATAATAAATTCCAAATTAATCATATCACAATATCCATTAGGTACTTATAACGTGTTTTACATCAACAACAAACCCTGATACTATCATAGATATATAATAGTGTACTTTAGAAGTTTCAAGTACCAACGAATAATATTATACAATCACAACAAAATAACTAAAATAGTTACTCTAGGTTTTTTATTATGTAATTTCGTCCAAATTTGAACTTAAAATGACTATACAAATAAACTGTGCTTCTGTATTTTTTAGATTTTTTGGTAACAGAATTAACTACTTAAGTGTAATGTTGTTTTAAATTTTCAATCCTTATATATAAAAGTTGACCATTTTATAAATTTTTAACTACAAAATAATTATTCAATTTTAAATTTTATAAATGTTGTCAAAATTCGGTCTTTTAATGCTAATAAAAAAAAATTGTGCATTTGTATTTTTAATATTTTTCAACTGATATTGTAACAATACCTATATCAGGAGCCTTGTATTAAATTTTTACACTTTTTGGCCAAACAGATAAAACTTTATTGATATTTATAGAAAAAAAACTAAAGAAATTGAAAACTGAAAATGACCGTAAATAGCTCAAAAAGAGTCAAAATATTTTCAAATCTAGATGGCGTTTAGGAAATGCTAATATTCAGTGAAATTTTCAAGTATCTATTCTGTGGTTCAGTCAAATGGAGTGTTAAGTAAATTCTACTTTGTCATGTAACAGCGGGTTGACCTTCTGCTATCTTCTGAGAAAATAGGTAAATATTTGATTTTAAAAATTATTTTCTTGGCTAACGCTTGTGCCCCTATAAAATAGTAGGAAAAACTATGAAAATTTGTGCTTTTTGGTGGATAAATTAAGGATATTTCTGCTTAGAAATTTATGAAAATTTTAGAATTGTGATTTTAGTGATGATTTAGGATATATTTTAATGAATTGTTCTGGTGTCCTTGACCTGCCCTATTACTACTGAAGTGTAATCGACTATTGTAATACGGGCCCTTTTTTATTAGTTAAATGACCCGAAGACGAAAAAAAAATGATAATAACATAATGTGATGGTTATAATTAGCAATTTTTATTTGGCGAATACCGAATAATCATTGATCAATATTGAATATTATTGAATTATTAAACATTTAAAATAAGGATACATACATTCATAGGCGTGCGCACGGGAGGGGCAGGGTGGGCAGCTGCCCCTCCTGCGGGCTCAAGTTTTCTTACAAAATAACAAAGTTTTTAAAAAAATATTATAATACAGTTTTATATAATGAATATTATGTAAACATTGAGTGCTCGATGTACAGTGCACGATGATTTTATGTTGTCCAACTTTAAGCGAACCACAAGCGATACCGCGGTGATAACGAGTGCTTATAATCTTATTATAGCATGATGTAGATTGAGATGTGATGAGACATGAAAGTGAGTAGTAATTTGACGGCATTTAATGCGAAAAACGTTCACCGGAAGCGCTAAGAAGGTCGGTTCTTTAAATAATTAGTAATTAATAATTATAATAATTAGTATGCAGTATACGAACAAATATTATAGCTCTTTACTTCCGAAGCAATTTTCGGAATTTTTAGTATTTTAGTATTTTTATGCTCAACGTGTTGATTAAATCAGAATATACCTATCTTTTTTTTTAATGTGGTGTTTTATATTGAAATTAATTTTCTATTTATACTGTAACCTACAAATCAAATTGTTTATTATATACCTAATACTATTAAATACCTATAAAGTATAATTTATAAAACAGTTTAAATAATAGGTTACATGCCTACAATAATGTATAAATTTCAATATTACCAAAGAATAGAATATTATTGATACATTAATGCATGATATAATAGTGGTACTATTTTTGGAAAAATCATACTAAGGATTTACATTTTTTTTAAATGTTGATATTTATATGTTCAACGTGTTGGTGCAAATAATAATTTACCTATCTTACTTACTTTTTTTGTAATTGTAAATAAATAGTAAGTAGAATTAGTAAATTCAGATTTCACCAACACATCAGGCATAAAAATATATATGAATGCAGTGGCGGATCCAGGGCTTAATTTTGGGAGGGGCATGGGGGGCTCAAAAGTATATGAAAGTTCCAAAATTGGCTAAACACAGTGTAAAACAAAGGAAAACTACGGTTATTGGGGGGGGGGCAAATGCCCCCTTTTCCATCCCCCTGGATCCACCACTGTATGAATGTAATAATTTTCTTTGTTCATGTATATTAATATAATATAAAAAAACTTTGGAGTTTCAATTACTATATTAAATTTGTAGTTATTTGTAGTTTTAATGATACATAAAATGAAAATACTTCCATCACTTACATTAATTGAACTAATAACCAAAATAATATTTACTTACCTATATATTATATAATATACCTATAGGTACATTATTACATTCTGCCCCCCCTGCCAGCAAGGTCTGCGCACGCCTATGCATACATTTGAGTATTTGACCGACTGGTACCATTACAATAACCCCCTGGCCCCTCTACATCTATATATCTGCTACATCAGTCCACATTGACGTCGCTGACGTAAGGTGGCGCTGCACGACGTCCATTGACTGCGATCAGTAATGTACACATACCTGTTGCCGGCGTTATCAGTTATCACCGCAGTTGCCACTTGCCGAAGTGGTGTCCACGGTGGAAGACTTATCCAAGAGTCAAGACTAGTGGCTTAGTGTTGGCTTGCTAGTGTTGTAGTAAGTATTCCGCGATTTACGTTTTCTTAAGAAATTTTTCTCAAAATTTAGTGTTATTGCGTCCACTAATATTACTCATCCACTGAATTCATATTTTTCTTCTGTCCGCAGGGTAACCATAACATATTATTATATTAAGTATATTAAACTACATACCAGTGACGTCTGTACATCATCGTCAGCAAACATGATCCGGTCCAACATGTTAAAAGTAATAATCTAGTTGATTAAATAATATTAAAATAAATATAGCGTGAAACGACGGTCAAATCATTTGTGGATTTAAAAACCCTTCATGTTGAATATGTTTACTACAATAAGTGGTTGTTGCTAGTAATTTGCCTGACGTACTTACCTGTTTAAATTTCAAATTTTACAAACCTAACCATACAAATTACTAATTTTTTTTTATTAATAAAAATGAATATTCACAATCTGTATAATAGAAAATACAGTAAGGCTTGACGGCTTGGGTAAAGTGTCCAATAACACTACTTTAACTATATATCATATACATTTATTTTTGTGTTATGTAACTATTGAGTATCATATTTTATATTATATAGAATAAAAACTGAGATTGGCTTGTTTAGAATTTTGATCAATTATTATTTATTACTATTTTATTAATTTATAAAATATTATTTCCAGCATAAAATACTTAAATAGTTTTTGTTAATTTAATAAATTAATTATTGTTGATAAGTCACTTAGTATTTTTTTTATTTTTCATTTGTTTCAATAAGTATTAGTACAATTGTTTGTTTATCATATTTATTATGTACATATCTTATGCTACTTGACATTTACCACTTAGTTATAAATTATTTACAGTTTTTAACGGATGTTATTGATTAATATTAAAGGATTTACATTTTCATGATATCTAACTTTAAATTGGTTTTTAGAACATGGTCCCTACTACCTAGTACTTACTTCTAATGATATTATAAAATTGAAAACTGAAAAAAGAAAATATTCATATTTTTATAATAATACCTTTATTTTAGGCTTCAGCTTACACATTTTTATTATTTCTGTATTCATTGTAGGTACATACTATTGTACGAATGAGTTCTAAAATACTTATATTTGAATAGTGAATTCTTAAAACATTAATATCTTTATGCTATTTATCATTAGTGTAGGTAGTAATAAAAATAAATACATAATATATTGTTAATTAAGTATCTACCTATAAATCTAAAATTGTTTTAATATTTTTAGGATTAATATAGTTACTATATTACATATATGGAAACAAGAAAAAAATTATCATACTCACATATTTTAGAACCTACCTAATTAGTTAATACTCAATAGTATATCACATGTTATCCTTTTTTAGCTACAATAATTGTTCGAAATAGGTAGGTAACTAACTTTACAGTTATATTAATTATTTATCTTATCTAAGAGCAGAGGTTATATATCATTAAAAAACAAGTGAAAGACGTCAATATTAAAATCTAACAATAATAAATATCAAATTTATTTATAATTTATTTTAAGCATTTAATTAATATTTGATAAATATTTTTTTCAGAAAAATGTATTTCAACAAGCAATTCGATTTAATGCAACATGCAGTGTCATTCCAAAAGTTCCAATGTACATAGATGGAAAGTTTGTTGAATCAAAAACAAATGATTGGATCGATGTACACAATCCTGCTACAAATGAAGTAATATTATTTGCTTTAATAATATAATTATGAAAATTTTTGGATATAATAGTATAGCTTCGTTAATCCAGACCCTGTCTGGTTAAAACAAAATTGACTGAAACCCAGGAAATATGTTTCGAGCCGACCACTGATATCATTATGTATTGGTTTTTATACTAAAAATAACCATCTACATAGTTTGTTTACTAATTTTAAAAACGAAAAAAATAAATATGCACATACAATCAAAATTACAATTGGTTTGAGAATTATTGACACATTTTTTTTTGTACTTCACGTTGGTCTGGATTAACAGAGTGCCTGTCTAGGATAAGCGAGGATTTACTGTATTTCCATCATATTATTTTTTAATCAACTTTCTTAGGTCATTTCTAAAGTACCAAAATGTACACAAAGTGAAATGGAACACGCAGTAGAATCATCCAAAGCAGCTTATAAATTGTGGTCAAAAACTTCTGTGATGAGAAGACAACAAATCATGTTTCGTTATCAGGAAATCATCAAAGCTAATATGGTAAATTTATTTGATAGTGTTTAGTATCATTTATTCATTTAAAGTATTATTAAACTTAATTTCAGAAAAAATTATCAGAGAATATAACCAAGGAACAAGGGAAAACATTGATTGATGCAGAAGGAGACGTAACTCGTGGACTGCGTAAGATTTACTATGTTTTATTTCATTGTAATACACTAATCGCAAGCATAGAACTATGTCAGTTAAATGATTGTGTTTATGTTTTCCAGAGGTTGTTGAAAATTGTTGCAATTTTACCAGCTCAATCATGGGCGAATCATTACCATTAGTAGCTACTGATATGGATATACATTCCTATCGTGAGCCTCTTGGAGTGACGGCTGGTATCGCTCCATTCAATTTCCCTGCCATGATACCCTTATGGATGTTTCCTGTTGCTATTTCTTGTGGAAATACATTTGTTATCAAGGTAAATATATGCATTTAATCCTAACTTGTCTAGATCTAACAGAATATGTCCTGGTCAGTGGCGTATATACAAATTATTTTCACTATGGGCCAATTTATCACTAGTCGGTTAGCGTGACTAACACAGCCATTACTATACATTTTTAAGGAGCTGGGTGGTTATAAATACAAATAAAAATTACTCAATTAAATTTTATAATTATTATGTAAATTTCATTTTTAATTCTTTTTTAAAAAAAATGTACAATTTCATACATATATAATACATATATATTTTAATGTTATCTTATTGTGAATTTAACACATAAAAGTCATCAAAGCAAGTCCTGACAATCTAACATTTCCTTGTTGATTCCTCAAAACGATTTTAATCAACCGGCTAAATTAGTCATGGTGAAAAACTGTAAACAATGTAGGTATACTTGGAATGGTTTAATTGAACCTGCAATTTCACTATGGGCTTCATTATTTAGTATGTTTTAGGCAATAAAAAAAAATTAATAATCCATAAGTTTTTATAAGTAATATTATTGATTATACCTAAATATTATAATATAGAAATATTTTTAACCAATGGGAATATTTTAAATTAAAAAATACTAAAAATGTTTTTTTTAAATTATTATTAGCCTTCAGAAAGAGTACCTGGTAATTGTATGATGCTTGTTGAAATGTTGTCGGAAGCTGGCTGCCCACCTGGTGTTGTGAACATTATTCATGGTAGTGTAGACACAGTGAACTTCATCTGTGATGCACCAGACATTAAAGCAATTTCATTTGTTGGTGCAAACACTGCGGTAACTAATAGTTAAATAATATATAATAGCCTTTTACATTTGTCAAAGGTTATATTGAGTGCTAATATACTATTATATATTGTGTGTAGGGTGAACACATTTACACTCGAGGTTCTAAAAATGGTAAAAGAGTACAAAGCAATATGGGTGCAAAAAATCATGGTGTAATAATGCCTGATGCAAACAAGACTAGCATGTTAAATTCATTAGTTGGAGCTGCATTTGGAGCAGCTGGACAACGGTGTATGGCATTAAGTACGGCTGTGTTTGTTGGTGATGCTAAGAATTGGCTTCCTGAATTGAAGAGTCGTGCTGAAAATTTAAATGTCAATGCTGGTAAGTAAATTGAAGGAATCTATGTATTAGTTTTTGTTTTAGTTACTATTTATTTACACATGTTATTAATTCATTATAATTACATTTAAGGTCATGTTCCAAATACTGATGTTGGCCCAGTTATATCGCCAGAAGCAAAAAATAAAATCCACAGTTTAATCCAATCTGGTATTGATGAAGGAGCTAAAATTCTTTTGGACGGAAGAAACATAAGTGTGCCGGGCTATGAAAAAGGAAATTTCGTTGGACCAACTATTCTCACAGACGTGAAGGTAACAACCGATATTGCAATAACATTTATAATGAACTTAATCCATTATCACCCCATTGTAAAAGTATTCCAGTGAAGGAGGTGTTCTCTTATAAACAATTTAGGTTATTTGTTATTTTCTTGATTGCATTGATTTTTTTAACTGTTGTTTTTTAATTTTGTTGTACAATATAGCCACATATGAAATGTTATACAGAAGAAATATTTGGACCGGTGTTGGTGTGCTTGACTGCTGATACTTTGGATGAAGCTTTAAACATAATTAACTCAAATCCATATGGTAATGGTACAGCTATATTTACTACAAATGGAGCAACAGCTAGAAAGTTTACTCATGAAGTCCAATGTGGAAATGTAAGCGTATTGCAATTTTATTCTAGAATTGTACATGTAATAATGATATATATTTATATTCCATTTAGGTTGGTGTAAATGTTCCTATCCCAGTTCCATTGCCAATGTTTTCATTTACTGGTACACGAGGCTCATTTTTGGGACAAAATCATTTCTATGGCAAACAAGTATGTGTTATTTTTTTTGATTTAAAGTTATACAGGGATGTGATACGTAACATTTTTTTCATATTATGATTTGTGATTTTATTTAAGGGTTACCACTTTTTTACGGAATTGAAAACAGTTACACAACTTTGGAAAGAATCTGATGCCACAGACACCAAAGCTGCCGTTTCTATGCCTGTGATGCGATAATTTTTAACATAAGTCTGATATTTTACAGAGTTTAATATAATCTTGTTTTTGTTATCATAATTTTTAATAAAAGAAAAATGTAATGTACAAGTTTTGTCAAATATTTTAATGACAATAATATGATGTCTAAACATACAAATACCTTACAATACAAAGTCTTATAGTATTTTATTTTCAGGTTAAAGATAAAAAAAAATTTTTCTTAAAATCTAAAAGAAAATACTAAATATTCAATTTTTAGTATTAAAAAAGTAACACTTTCACGTCTTTACTTAGGGCTGTTGAAAACGAATCATTTTTAAGGGGTCGTATTTAGGCAATACCCTATATACTTTACTGTTTTGTAACCAAAAAATATAAAAACAGTTTTTTTTAATAGATATTTTATGTTCAAATTGCACTAAATTAGATGTTAAACAAATAGAACTATTTTAGTTTTGTGTTACTGTTATATTTAAAAATTATAATTTGTGCGTACTTGAAACTTCTAAAGTATATTATTGTATACAAATAATATTAAATAAATTCATCTCATCAGCTACCGAAGTAAAAATAATAATAATAATAATATAAAATATCTTTGGTTGACTAACCGTCTCCGCTCAGAATCGTTTTTTGTATACAATGATAATATTATATCATTGAATTCAAATTTATTAACATCGTCAATAACAGTGACCCACCCGCTTGTGACCTACTGTACAGCAGAGTGACATACCCGCTTTTTTATTAATTCAACTGTTATTATTGAATATAGGTACATGTTATATGTTTATCCATACTGACTGAATCAACATTTTTTTAGAACTATTTATTTTTAAACAATAAATAATAAATGTTCCAAGTCACCTCACATACAGTTCAGAGTCACCTGAATTGAAGGTATTATAGGTATATACCTAAAGCCTCTTAGCCCCCTCCCCCGGATCCACGTCAGTTGGTAACGGTAATTAATTATAAGTCACTAGTTACAGACGGCGTTAAATCAAATTTATTATACCTACATTATAAATTATAGGTAATCCATAAGTTTAATTTGGGATTATTTTTCCACGCTCTTTTACGTCGTAAAATTAGCTTATACGATTCCACGGGGACTCGTGGAATACAAAATATCGTATAAGTATCGTTTAAAACTTTTTAAGAGATTTAATCTTATAAGTAATGAAAACGTCAGTTTGCAGAGGGTTCACGAAATTGTTATGATAATTTTGCGATCTTATTGAGCTAATCGTTTTTTAATAAAAAAAAAAATTATATCATTATCAGCTATAGTTTACAATATAATATTATGTCTGTACCTTTGTACAATATAATTTAGTAATAAAGCTACATTAAAAAAATTATATTTTCCAGATCGCGTGGTTATTGAAATAATTGGGATTGTGCCAATGTTGACGAGAAATTTAAATGTATTTCTGTGTCTGGCATTGCCCACGCGTATTATGAGTTCTTGGCTGTTTTTCGCTTATTGAGCAAGTTCGGCAAATTTTGAATGTAACATATTTACTACAAATGACTATAGCCGCTCGCAATAGGTAAGAATATTATATAAATATGACTCGTTCAATTCCCTCATCGGCCGATGCAGTCTCCTGTGTTCTGTAGGCATTTACCGGCACTCCCTGTGCTGGCCAATACAGTATTTATTTATGTTTGAGGTTCGTGGTGTTTCGTTTTGTTTTATGTACCTACTCACGCTCGTATAACGACATTGGAAAGTTTTATCGTGTCTAGACAAACGGCAGTGGCGTACGCAGGATTTTTCAAGGGAGGGGGCTTGAAAATTAGTAATTTTTATTTTGTCCAGTCTATAATGATTCCAGACGTTTATTTGAAGTATTTTAAAATGTTACTTCTGAAAATGCTCCGATTATAAGCTTCGATGCCCGATGTACGTTTTTGGAAGCAAATTGGATCTAGTTGGTACATTTAGGAGGTCGAAATTGAAATGCTCAGTGCTTTTTAAAATAATTGGAGAAAAAAAATGAAAATTTATTAAAATTGTTTGGTAACCAACTTGGTTATACCGTCCTCACTTGGATTACATTTAATCAATTAATTTATTTTTTTTCTATAAATGTCAATAAAAAATTATTTATCCGGTCAAAAAGCTTAAAAATGTAATACATAAGTTTTTATTATAGCTAAAATAGTAACGATACATAGGCATCATGGTTATTTTTTAAAAGCATTTTAAGTTCAAATTTCGTCAAAACCACAGGTTTTTTTATACAAGTACCTAGTTCATACTTTTACCGAAAAATTACAGATAATTTATGAAAATTGGTTTTCAAAATATGTTATTTCAAAAATGAACTTCATTCTAGTAAGATGTATATGCAATTTAAGTCTTGCTTACTATAGTTGACAATTGAAACTTTGAAACTTGATAAATATATTTATTTTTTAGTTATAATTATTGGGAAATGGGGGGGGGGGCTTCAGCCCGTTAGCCCCCCCTCTGCTGACGCCACTGACATACGGTATACTCATGTTACCACTTACCCCGAATTATACACAACGAACACAACTTTAAGGCCCCCGGTGCCGATGCCATTTTGTCCTCAAAAATACACTCTGCGGAAATAGCGATACCGAATTGTAGAATCAACGAAATTTTATAATTTTTTTTTCTAATTGTTAGAGGGAAATATTCTATAGCCCGCATCAAACTCTGTTTTTCAATGTTTTATTTTCAAAATTTATAAAATTTATAAAAAAATACAAGATAAAAAGCATTTTTTCCAATTTTTTTAATACAATTATTTGAAATAAAATACAAAATCAGAGATCGATGCGGGCTGTAGGAAGTCTTCTTCTTTCAGATAAAATAATAGTCATCAAAATCCGACAATTCTACAAAGCTAGAGATTTATTCCCGTAAAGTCATTTTTTTCGATATAATAATCCCTATCAACCCCCTAAATTGTATCGGGTAGTAGATTAGTGGAAAAGTCTTATAATTGAGGTGGCAACTAAAATATAAAATTTAATTTTCAAATTTTATAGAATTGTGGAAAATTTTAAAAACTGGCACCGGGGGCTGCAGCAGGTTTTGTCAAAAATCAAAAATAATGTAGATTTGAAAAATCTAAACATTAATTTTGTTTGTTATAATGTTTTTAAATATATTTAAATTCCTTATCATAAAATAAACCTTAAGAGGGCTGGAGGGGGCTCCAGTCAATGAAACAAGTGACTTTTAGACCAATAAGCTAGACAAAACTGGAAGAATTTGGTTTGACAGATTTTAATTTTGAAAACGGATTATGATTGATCAACAAGTTTACTGGGAAATGATCCAGGCGATTTTGAATATTCCAATTATTGTTAGTGTCATTATGAATAATGTAAGTACAAAAATATCATATTTTTTCGATATTTTTATTCTTGGATATCACAGCTGAAAAAAAATATTCAAAATCGCCTGAATCATTCCCTAGTAAACTTGTTGTTCAATCATAATCCGTTTTCAAAATTAAAATCTGTCAAACCAAATTCTTCCAGTTTTGTCTAGCCTATTGGTTTAAAAGTCAACCTTTTTTTTGTCATCGGCTGCAGCCCCTTTAATGTTTATCTACACGGGAAATAACACAATGGGTCAAAATAGTCACTATTGTATATTACTTTATTAGTGAACATTATTATGCCCTATATTTTTACTAAAATACATAAGTGGGTTGTGGGTATCTATACGACTGATACTTGCGATGTAACCCTATATATGTAACTCTATATAGTAACAAAGCGAAGGAGTGAAGTATATTATGTACCTTTGTTTTCTTATTTGCGATATCCCCCACGACATAATTTGTCTATTATATAAATATTAAATAGCTCGCTGTAACCCCTCGACCGATTTCGATGAGTTATTACTTTTTCTTTATTTTTATCGCGTAAGTAGGTACTCACATTAATTTATCGGTAGAAGTTTCATAATTTTTAGTACAATACTCTATTTGATGACGTTAATGAGATTTGAGTGAGATAAGTATGAATCGCATAGGTATATATATATGAATGCATACTAATAATATATATTTGAAAACATAAAATATAATAAATATTATAATAAGTACTACATAGGAAGGTTGAACTCGAGACTGTTTCTCAAATTTTATGTTTGGTAAGATATTTAATGGTGAATAATGTAAAAAGTTTCTGATTACGCCATCAACTGCACGTTTTCGACGAATGCCTGTAATAATCGAAAAACTTTATACGAAACATTACTTTACACTTCATGGGATGCTTCACGTTTCTTATATGACAAATTTCCAAAACGAATTAAAATGTATTGATTTTTTTTTACTGTTAACACCCAGCCAATGATGAAAAAGTGTTTTGAGCTCACGACGTTATAAACGATGGAAACTTCAAACTATATATCGCGCTAGTATCTAAGTACCTTTACTCTTATAATACGAATATTTATTCATGCATGCTTATTATTGTTTTATGTATTCCCAAACCATGCTGTAATCCTATCTACATGGCAATATAATATCGATAAAAGTCTAAAAATACATTAATTGTGCCTCCACATTTATCTTATAAAAAAAAAACCATTAAAAAATGTAATTTTTTTATCGACCAAGTAGAAAGTTTATTTGAGTCATTCATATTATTGTTTTCAAAGTCCAACGCGACTCGTATACTTTAAAACAGTTAAAATGTCGTTTTAATAAAACCTATTGGTATGATCATTGATCATATGCGAAAATCGTGAACACTTTATATTATGATTATTGATTAGGACTGGGATTTTAATGCCCTATTAAAATGCTTTTATGGCCTAAAAATTCTGAATACCTAATGCGCTAAAAAATTCATTAAATTATTTTTGTTTTTAATAATTTTGATATAAGTTATAACACAAATTTGGTATAGGTACATGATAATATACATTCTAAACTCTTAAGGATTTAAAAAAAAGTTTTGCGGACAAAACTTATCATTTTAGACTTCTTTAATATCGAAAAACAATTATTAATTTTCATTCAATATTCCTTTTTTTTATATTCTAAGATTATATATATATTATTTGCCTCTACATAGTTATAGTTTGTTAAAACTTAATTTATATATACACTATAGTCTGTTTAATTGTCTGTTAATTACAGAGTTTTAATTCCCAATACTGTCCATGTACCTACTATGACATGTTTGTTTTTATTTTCACTTACGGAAAACAATGAACACAACCGAACTTTTATACATTTTTACAGTACCTAAGCGCTGAAATGTGCAAAAAATAAGATGTGTTGGTATTATGTTTATGTTTCATACAATTGTGTTTTGTAATCATTTTGTGTACACATTATTGTAACCGAATGAATAATGAACAAAAACTTCTTTCTAAATGAACCATATGTCACACACATTACTGTTTTTTTTTTTTTTTAAATTATTTAACCTTTTATAATTTTATGTATAGGGTGAGATTTTTTCGGAACACCAGAAATTTATAAAAATAATTTTTGATTATTTTAACAATAATTATAAAATATAATATCATACATTATACATGATAGGTGGTTAGTAACAATAATAGTTGAATGTTTATATAATTGAATGAAGCATTAATTAATGTTTGTAGTTTTAATATTGTTGTTTCACCAATTTCCAAGTATCGTAATAATTTTAATGTCGAAAATATATATTATAAATATATATATACAAAGAAATCACTTATTAACACGATACAAATATCTTATGTCAGTATAATACTAGTACCTACTTTGTATATGGCAAGTGGCATACTCTGTGGTGTCGGACGGGTATGGTAAACTACGCCTATGCCCAACATTTCATTTCAAATGCTATTATTCTAAAATTATACTCAACTACAAAGCTAACAAATATATTTTGTGTAATTGTGTATTTGTGTCATAAATATTATATACAACTAATATACAAATTAATGTTATTGATTGTATTTTTCATTGGGCACACTTTCAATAATTTTCCAGAACCGCTAATGAGGATTTCTACGCTGTTTATATCTTACAAGATATTTACGATAATTGCAAATCGTTTGATTCAATTTGTGATTTTCGCTCTACTTCGACTTTACTTTCAATCGTTTATTTTTTTATCAAAATATGTTAGAGTCGTACTTAAAACTTTCACCTATCATCGTTTATTGTCTCCTAACTCATTTTTATTACACCGAAGTGCTATACGTACATACATATTTTTGCGGTTTACATTTTGTGATTTTTCGCTAAAATAAAAACAGAAACCGTATCCTATATAGAATGTATGCTAATTTTTGACTACAGAAAATTACTTCTCATTTACATCACAGTGTGTTCATGTGTATGTGTGTGTGTGTGTGTGTGTCTGGGTGTAACGAACACCACCACCACTGCGATTCGAGTAGCCAAAAGGATTTTGCACGTTTGGGACCAATATCAGTCACACGAAATCGATTCGACACTACCCCAAAATTATTGCATAGCTCAGTTGAAAATCAAAAAGATGACCATTTCCTATAAACTGTGGTTATTGGCAGTGGTGTGTGTAGCGTTCTTATACCAGGATGGTCCGCAAGGCAACGGCGTGTTATGCGCAAAAAACCCCCCCCCTCCAGTCGAAGATAATTCGTCTGGAGCTGGATCGTCTGATGAAGATAATGCTGATCAGGATTCCGGCAGCCAAAGTGGTGGTGATTCCAGTGGTGGGGGTGATTCGGATGGTGGTGGTGTAGGAAACAACAATGAAGATTCCGCCGATGAAGATGACGATGATGGCGACCATCATAAAGGACATTCGAAACATGAAACTAATAAACAATCTGGTAAAGGCAAGAATCTCGGCCGTCACCACGATGACGATGATGACGATGACGACGATGGTAAAGACAACGATGGCGGAGAAGACGGAGAAGATGGAGACGATGAAGATGATGAAGGAAGTAGAGATGCTGGTCCCGACGATGATGATGAAGATGATGATAAAGAGCACCACAAGAAAACTTTGCAAAAAATAATGACGATGAAATAGGGGAAGTGCAATTATTTACGACGACCACCATCACAGGAAAACCAAAGGATATCCTAAAATTCCTCGACGCAGGTATTTGATTTACGTTAGTTGATAGTTTAATCAATTTTTGTATTTAAGTAAGTATAGATACTTTTTTGTTTTTGCACACAATCTAAATATTTCATAAATCAAGTTATTTATACCAATTGGGATTTAGGAATGTTATTTCACATTATTGAATGAATAGACAGATATGGTTAAAATATGTCGTTTATTTCATAGTATAATCAACTCAATCTCAAATAATTTTGAGTCTATGAAAAATATGTACTTATTAATATGTTCTAGTTTAAATTAGAAGAACAAGTAAAACTAATTGAGTGCAATAGAGAAATAATGATATGGTAATATATTTATATATCTAAACTCAAATATTATTGTATAAACAGAATATTTAACAATTACCATTAATTTCTGGTAAGAATTTATCCAGTCGACTTATCTGACTATTCAAAGTAAAACGTCGTACGAATGTATACGATTCCATTACAAAACTAATATTTAGGCAAATAAACCGTTGTTTGTTCGTTGAGATACATTTTATATTTGTTGTTCGTAATTTTTTTATTTTAGGTGTGAAGCCCTATAAACCAGCTACTTTGAATTTTAATAAAAAATCAAATGCTAAACTTTTAAAAAAAATTGAAAGTGTCACTACTAAAAGTGATAAATCAAGCAAGGGCAAAAAAAATCCAAGTGAAGATTTGACGAATTACATAAGTAACATTATTAAGGAGGTTTCAAAAAAAAAAAAATCTAAACAAGCGGATCCAGATAAGGTAAGAATTTTAAATTATCATTTATCAGTCGTAAAATTTCAGATTTGAATTAACAATATTAGGTTTCCTCTTTTCGAAACCTATTATATTTTAACTGTTATGTGCAGGTATTAATATACATAGTTAGGTGTTGAAAATAATTAACTCGAGGTAAGTGAAGTTAAGTGAACCCAAGATTGTTTAGTTGGAAGTTAATAGTTAACAAATTACTTTCAAAGCTTATAATTAATATAAAAAATAATATTAAATTAACTAAGTTGAAAAAAGTAAGAAATATTTAATAGGTCTGCTAGTTATACCTACAGTATATGTCAAGTGTACCTCATCATTGGGTAAGTCACTGTAATGTATGTGTTAAATTTTAATTCAATGATAAATCATTGTATATGAAAAATGATTTTGATCGAAGGCGGACGCCTATTTTACTCAGTATATTTTATGATTTAGAGTTTTTTTTTTTTATTTAAAAAAAGTATATTTACAATCTATACAAAACAAGGTATAATGAGTAAGTGTAGTGACATAAGAACATTTGACAAAAAGAATAGTTACATTAATAGGAAGGCTCCCAGCAGTGCCACCTGACCAGAAATTAATTTACAGTGTTAGGTAATTAATTTGAAGGTCACTATTTGTAAATAGGTATATTAATATATATTTATTAATTCGAAATATAGGTAATGCAGGTATTATAGTGCAGTTTTTTTAAATTTAATATTTGGCTAATAGGCTCCATTTTACAGTGATCTAAGAAAAAATATTTCAAAAAACCCGTACATTTTTTTTTATTAAAAAAAAAGATTTTTTGAATTTTTTGAAATTTTTAATCTAGACCATGGTAAAAAGGAGGTTATTAGTCATCAATTAGGTAAATTAAAAATAACTGTACAGAAATATAATATGTGCATTATATTTCTAACTAGTGCTTCCTACTGACTTTATTGTATATACATATAATATTGTAATATATTTATTTCATATTGCTATTAGAGTAATTTCATTTACTGTTAGTACGGTTGGTTGAATTATTTCTTGCCAAAACATTGCATTTATTCTATTATTAGTATTTAATTATTATAATAGTATATTACATAATATTATGTTTAAATCATATATTATTATTGTTATTACAGTTTGAGTCAATACTCACTTACCGTAGAACCCTGTGAATAGGTTACACTCTCAAAAGCCTTAGGTAGCTAAAAGATTGAACATTTTATACACATTTAACTAAAATGTATATGAAATAATATTATCACTAATTAAACATAACTAGTCAAGTTGAAAATTTAAAAAAAATTACATTTTTAACTAGTTAAAAAGCCCACTTTTGTGCTTTGGCTGCTTTGACGTGGTAGTTTTGAGTCAATATTTGTCTATATATTATTCCAAAACAACACATTTGTTTGGTGCATACTGAATATTAGTATACAACATTTTAATCTAATGGTTTTTTTTTTTTACAGATATTAATTACTCTCGTGAAGAATGTTTTGTTGAAGTTATTGAAAGATATGTAGTTTGAAGCCCGTGACAAGTCTATCAGTGTATACTTTACCACCAGAATGGGTTGGAAATCGCATTCGTGTACACAACTGCAGCTGTAATTAAAAATAATTATATCTGTGCAAAATGTTTAAATATATCGTTAAGAACAATATGTTTTTTTTCAAGAGTCCAAGATTATTGTATTTACAGTTGTCCCATATTCATACATTAACATTTAAATATTTTTTATTGCATTAAAGTTTTATTTCCATAATTTATATACAGCGTGCATAATAATAAAATATATTATACTCTATGGCTGTAGTGAATGGAGAACAATTTATAATTTACAAGAGTTATGTGGTTTTGTACTATGAATACTCATAAAACAATATTAATATCGAGTTTAAAATTTGATATTGGTCAATCGTAAATGGTAACTAAATTTTAGAGCAAACCATAAACATGTTTTCGTGGCCTTTGATTATTTTTGAAAAAAATAAAAGTCGTTCATGCTCATTCGTCGCAATAACGTCGCATATTTTTCAAGGTTGGCATAGCTTACTAAAATGACTGAAGGGCCGTTTTTCAAAACTTGCCAAATAATTTATTGCGACGTACTGCCAAATTTTATATTTCTTAAATTACATTTTAATATGATACGAACTTTCTAATAGGTATATAAGACTATAATTTTACCAATCTATATTCATTGGTATACTATTTTTTTTTATGAGGTAATCCGTTTTACGTAACAATAAAACGAATACAATATATCTACTTCTACAATGTCGTTTTACAAACTATCTTTCGTCCGTCGGTATAACATTCCTTTGACCCACTGTTAATTTATCAGATACCAAATTTTTTTTTTTTTTACGTGTCTCGTATGCATTAGGAACACATGAGTGTTTGGCAGAATTTCTATATTGGGGTACCCGTAGGTTTCTGCCATGCCCCGGAGTGGGGGATGGCGGCACTTATTCTCCGGACACCGTGACTTGCCCGAAGAAAAATGCCGCCCGGTGACCAAGGATCGAACCCGGATCGGCTGCGCCGCAGCCGACGCGTTAAACGCTCGGCCACCTCGTCCCTCAGATACCAAATTAAATACAGGTACCTATAGGTAGTAGGGCCTTAAATACATCTAATTTGAGGGGACACACCCTTTGGGGGTTGCAACACCCAAAATCCCCCTCTTTTATATACCACTTACCTCACACATTAATATTTGACACACTTTAATTTTCATTGTACACAGTATTTTAGCCCGAGGGTAGTAGTAAAAATAAAAAATAATCAATAGACTAATATAAATTGTTTTCGCTTTAATAGTAATCTCTTTCATACATAATACACAAATAACAACAGTATAAAATAACATGTTTTTCATGTACAATAGGGTTAAAAATTAGAAACAAATCAGTCGCACATTTAATCACGTACGTTAAATAGACTTAATTTCATGCAATAATCATCTGTTTTGAAAAAAATGAAATAAAACAATAAAAAATACAATTTAAGAATGAGCCAAATTAGTTATTTTAGCATTTTATTTCGCTAAATTGCATTATTAATCAATACGTATAGTATTGTAATTACTCTGCATCAATAAAAAAATTGCTCATTTTATAGTTCAATCTTAATAAAACTAAATTATTAAGTGAACAAAGTCATCCAAGTGGAAAATTTATGGTCTAAAAACTTGATAAACATAATATTTGCATTGTCTGAGGGACAACAATGATTTCCTATACATAACCTATTCAACGTTTTTCATTCTATTTATTTGGTCTAAAACATCTAGAATTTAAAACTTAACAATAAATTATAATAAATATAATATTTAACACTTAGGTGTGTAATTTTTGCTAAACATGTCAAAAGATTCTAAAAAAAAAAAAAAAATGTATTTGCGTGAAAAAGTTCCTTGACCAAAATTGGCCCCGCATCAAGTACCTACTATATAATACATCCATGGAATCTTTGGTCAGCTTTTCACACGCAATTAACCAGAATAAAAACGTTGGTAAATAACGTACGATTTATTATAATATTATTATAATATAATAATATGAACTTATTAAATAACAATAATATTGTCTTATTATAATATTATTATAGATTCATAAAACGTTGGAAATATTGAGTTTAGACGCATCAACATTGCTCGATAATATTGTACGGTATGTATAATAATTTTCAATATTACGCGTGGTTCGTATTATATATCGATTTGTAGAAAATAAAGTATAATAATATTATTATATGATTATCGCCAGGGTCGGCCTCAAAGGAACTTTTAACACATCTATCCACGCAGAATACACTGTCGCATGTATAATAATAATAATTAATAGTATTATAATAACAATAAAACATCTATTAAAATGAATAAATAGAATATTAATTGTAAACCTTTACCGTAAGAGTATCATTACGTTATAATATGTATATTATTTTAAAAATGGAAAGTGAAAAAGTGGCCAAAGGACGATTTATTAAACGTATATATAGTGGATATTGTTACTGCAGAATCATCGCACGTAGGTGTACGACGACCGTCATCAGCTCATTTATTTTATGTTTTATTTTTTTTTTAAAGAATGGCAGTGCGTAAAATTTAACTGTTATTATTCAATTTATTATTATATATTTTTTTTTACACAGAACTTTGTATTCGGAACACGATTGCTGTCGCCTATGGCCGAACCACCTACGCTGCAGTTTGCACGTCTTTTTCGACTACAATATTGTGTAGAACTCGCACGGCGCAGCTAGTATATATATATATAATATTTTTAAAAAATGTTTTCATACATAGTATAACATAATTGTAATAATTAGACGGGTACATAATATATAATAATATAACATATATGCATAAATAACATGCCTATTATATAAAATATCGTTTTCGAATTGAGTAAAATCGCAATGAATTTAATAACGGTATATAAACAGTAGGTATTTCGTAACAGTAAATTATAAATATTATCAATTATCATTTTATAAACATCATTACCACCTAACCGAATATTATTGAGACGGAAAACGACCACAGGGTCAGTCGTTCATTACTCGTAGTACGACGGACGACGACGACGACGACGACGGTTCGTTTGTTTTCGGCGTTTATTGGGTTTCGTTCAAGTCGTGTCGCTCCTGTTCCTGGTGACCGCTGGCCATGTTTCGTGTCCTCCGTGCAGGTGACAGTCGCACCCACATCGGCTGTGATCCGCGTGGGTGGACGACGATCGCCGACGGGGTCTCATGGACATGGGTAGAACGGTGATCTTCTTGGGCGACCTGGGCTTGAACGACGCCTCGCCGCCGCGCTTGAGGTTGTCGTCGTCGTCGTCGAAATCCACCCAGCGACCTCGCGAGCAGCTCATCGGCACGTTGACGCTGCGGGCTCGGCGACGCCTCGGGGGATCGGTGGTCGGTGTCTGGACGGTGGTTGAGGGTTTACTGAATCTTCCGGAAAATAAAAGAAGAAAACCTTGTAATTATAGTGTCAAAATCGCTATTGTTACGCAATGCGCAGTTATAATAGTTAGGTATAATCCATAAATAATAATAACATTAATATATAACAGAGCTTAAAAAGATAAAAAAATATATCTGACGAATTGTATTGATTCCGTGGTTCGATGACTATCGATGATTTATCGGAAAAGTTTCTATTTTGTAATCTGCAAAGATACGTATTTGGTGGGAAGGCGGGAGACCCCAGCTGAAACTTTTTATGCAGACATTCTTGCGTTTATAATTACTATTTAACCCTATTGTTATATTGCATTATTTTATAATCATTAAGAGGACGTGATACTTGCATGTGTTGTCTCCGTCTTACAAGTGCATAACATAGCAAATTTTAAGCTCAGCAAAACAAGTGTAGCTCCGTTAATTCAAAAATTAGAGTAAACTAACCTCTTATAAAATCTAAAGGTGAAATTGGGTTAACATGGGCTTTTTATAATATTTTAATTTTTAAGCTAGTTATGACTACTTTAAGATGTATAAGCAATTTACAATTTCAAAATACTCATAGCTCTGCTATGTTACGCACTTGTAAGATGGAGACAACACATGCGGATATCACATCATCTTAAGACATTTACATATTATTATAAATTGTAGTAGGTACTGCACTAGTCCATAGAAGCGTATCAATAAAGTCGGGCTCACAGCTTCGTCGTTTGCCCTTTATCGTATAACGTATTCCAATTGGCTGTTGTACTCATGGTATAATTCACTAACCGCATGATCTACCAAATAGTTTCCAGAGTTGGGTCGATCTCAACTTTTGGGCAGATGACGTAACTGTGAACCCGGTTTTAATCAGTCTCTATCCCGTACAAAGGACCTGTAAATATTATAGGTGACATGATGTAAGGGTTGTATAGATATAGTCTTGTCTTGTCGTCTCGTCGGGCGCCCTCGGGGTGATGCTTGTCGTCGGACCGGAAATTATTACTTTCGCAAACATATACACATAGGTATATGAGTATATGAATTGTTCGGCAGGAATTTCATCGTTACTTATTATATGCACTCGAGGGCGATGACGGGAAAACGGATTAATCGAGAATCGACCGTGCCGACAGGACGTGGAGATAGAATCAATGAAGACGGGGTTTATCTAAGACTGACTGACGGAAAGGCGGAAAATAGTGCGATTACCCGCTAGCGAATATAATAACGCCCACGTTCGCCTTGTTTAGATTGCGGCCAAGGTGGAGGAATTTATAATGAGTTTGGGGTTTGGAATCACGGTTTACGTTATTACGGTGAAGTGTGAAGTCGTCTTCAAGCCAGAAATGATGGGTATTCACTGTGGCATCAATAGCGTTTGAAATTTGGGTTGGCTGAAAGCTCAGGTCTATACTTTGATACTAATATGATGCTTTTAAATTATAGTAATGAAATCATTAGTTTTTTTTTTGGTGAGGGGCTATAGAAACTTTGAGGGGGACTAAGGGGCAAGGGCTAATTAAAATAGTATTCGTTAATGTGAATTATTACCTAGTATAATGTAAAATGTATCAAAGTTTCCGAAGGATAATAATATTATTAAAACTTTTTTTCTCACGATTTCGCCTGTGATATTTATATATATAATATTATAATATGTATATTTATAGAGCGTCAGCCAGACCACCGTTGCACTAGTTTCAAAAATATATCATAATAAACATGCTCAGAGCTGAGTCGTGTCCATGATGGTGCGGTACTGCTACACTCGTACGTGTGTACTTAAAACATATCGATAAAAAAAAATAAAAAATAAAATTTAGTATTTTAATCGTACCATCTGCGCCGAGCAACGAAATATAATAATATGTACAAAGCCGTAAATCCCAAAGTGTGGTTTGCCGTCGTTTAATATCGCTGACGGGGCACACGAAAAGGCTTTATCGGATTTATTGTGATCGATTGTTATTTGTTATTATTATCCCAAAGTGTACACATAATATAAATAGCACTAAAAATCCTCACCACCCATTCTCAATCCATGTCGACAGTTCAAAAGTTTAACGGGGACCATAAATTATGATCGAGTTCCTTGATGGCGATGAAAACGACTTCTAACCAAGTTTTATTTTAGCTGTGGTATCCTATCGTTTTACTTCTACCGTTATGACCATCGTGGACCAAAATGAAAGCTTCATTTAATTTTCGTTCAAAAGTCATAAGCAATACTGTGGATTAATTGTATATTAATTTGAACGTATGTAAATTATATTACGATGGATATGTTGTAATTAAGTAGGTATTATAGAGTTTCTTTGATCTATACTTGTTTGAAAATCCAAAAATAATTTATTCATCCCACTATGTTTATTAAGTCGTTTGAAAGCATAGTTTGAAAAATGTATATTTATAATATACTCAGTATAATATTATTTGATTTAAATAATAGTCTAGTTTATAATATGTGTAAAGCTTTAACGAGAATTATTTCATGCTTTGGCAAAAATAAAATATAAGACTTACGGGATCATCACTACTTGTAGGAGATACGATTGCCTACGGATAAATAAAATGACAGTCTACATAAGGATATACGTACCTACTCGAAAAAGGTTTAGGTTTTAATAAATATAATAAAAAATTATTATTCCACATAAATACAACTAGGTGTATAAATAAGTGCCTAAATAAATATCTACAACGTTAGTATTATGAGAAATTTCATATGGTTAAAGTGTCGCATGTATGAAACAGTATTGCAGTTCTTCCATTAATTCAAATAGGTATATTCGAAAGGTGTTTACGCATAAATATTTTTATTTCAAAGAATTTGTGGGAGTGTAAATATTTTAATGTTTAAAATAATTACATAATTAGTTGTTTTTCACTTTTTATACGCATTATAATATTATGTCTAGAATTGTGTGCATAAAGGTTTTGAAAAGCTAACAAGGAAATTAAAAAAGACATATTATTAAATAAAAAAAGAAGTTTTTATGCGTAGTATGAATGAAATAACTATCGTGTTAGAATAAACTAAATTAAATCATATTATTATTATATCAAACATATAATTAAAATTGAACTCATTCCAAGAAACGTTCACATAAAGCTTTTTAACGCGAAAATTATGTTAGTCTACATAATCAAATTATATTTATTTGACGCTTACCGACATTGCTTAGGTATAATATAATTGTTTGGTTTTAATGCATTATTACTTTGTTATTATTAATGTATTGTTGTGGTTATGCGTTTATATTATGTATATGCATATAGGTAAAACAGGTACATGCACACGTGCGTCAATGCCATAATATATATTTTTATTCGGTAATCGAACCTTTTCGTACCTTTTTTTTTTTGTTAGAAAATTTTGGTTTACGATACGTTATTTTGTCAACGAGGAAGCTTGTTTCTTCAAAACTAACGATTTTCTGGAAAACAAATTCATCCGTCTACATATTATGTGTACTAAATATTATAATACTCCAGTAGATATATACAAAATTGTATATTGTATTTACGCACATAATATTATGTATGACTGCAGCTGGATAGGTTTCGCGTGGATTGACAAATGAATGGTATTCGGTATAATAGTAATAACCAGGGCTCGGATTGTATAACATTATGCTATTTACACTGGTCAATAAAATACGAGCATACATAATAATATGCTCTAAAAAGACTTAAATAATCTGTATAATGTACAATTACATGCAATTATTATTTATTATAAATTATGCATATTTTTTATGTCAAAAAGTTAAAAAATTGCACGATTATTAAAAAATTGTAATAATATAATATGGAAACATACGTATAATAATAATTATTATTATTATGAAAAACAAATTTTTACTTTTATAAATAGTTCGTATTGAACAATAAAAATAATTGTTAACTGTGTAGTATAAATTAAAAATATATACCTAATATATTTTGTGGATTTCTTTTGTGAACTTGTTGAATTTTTTGTTGTCGATTCATTAATACAATTTTGGTACAATCTTTTAATTATAATAAAAATCTCGTAAATTTGGAAAAAATATGAAGTATACATTTTTGGATTTCAGTGTTTGGTAGGTAGGTAAGATTTCGTAGATTTTGAATAATATGTAGCTTCTTAACAAAAAAACTTAAAAAATGTCACTAAGTTGATGGTGTTCCTAGCCCTGATAATAAATAATAATCCGATCTCAATGACACTTACTTCGGTAGTATGATCTGTATTTTGCTGGCGACAGCCGGTGAGTCTTCGAACGCGGCTGCGATGGCGTAAGTTCCTAGTCCCGAAGGCAAGTCGGTGGCGCTGGGTGTGCTGCACCGAGGAGTCGGCCTATCCAACGAACAAGTCTTCGTCTCGGCGATCCGATGCTTGACCGGTATAATTGGCACGGCCACCGACCTGAAAGCGATATAAAATTCACCACAAAATATTATAATATTATAAAGGCGTCGATTGTTAATCAATTATAAATTACAACTATCGTATTGATATGCATGACCAATTAGAACTACTATGTAAAACTTTCACCACCATCACTCAGCACTCGCATGTGAGGTCTGTGCGGCTAACTTACAGTTTCCACGGTATTTTGGATATTTATAAGGACCTAATGCCAAAGTTTACAGTAGTCGGAAAAATTTCCGTCCAGATCAGATTAACATACACGGACGTATCGATACGTTTTCTCTAATATGTATATCAAATACCAGTTGGTGGGTGAGTTACTCCCGTGGTGTTCTATAAAACAGTTTGGCACATATAATTACCATCACACCGAAGAGAGCAAGAAAAGTTCGTTATAGATTACCTTAAAGTGAACAAAGGTGGTTTTGGAGGTGGCCGAGGAGTGAAAAAAATAGTACCCATGTGTGGCTCATGCTTCAGGAAGGTAATTTCAGTCTTGGTTGAAATGCAGTCCTCACCTGCTATTTGTGCCACACGTCACCCACGAATAAAAAGCTCACTTCCTGCCACTTACCGCCATTGTCAAACAACATACTATTCTCAGTATTCTCTCGATACACTTGCCAGCCGTAGAAATGAGGCTATCTAACTTTTCTTTCAAATCTTCTAACCAACAAGGTCAACTGTCCACCTCTTGTATCACTAATTAACTTCCGCATACCAACTCTTAACATACATTCTCATAATCCCTTTTATTCCCACTAGTTATAGCTTAAATTATCCAATATGTTTCACCACGTATGATGTGGTTTGCCAAACCCAGGGCCTAACCCCTCATTTATTCTGTAGGTATTTACTTATGGTATGTGTACTATTTAATAACTATAATATATTATAAAAATATTAAATAATAATATGTACAGTATAAAATGTATAAATTACTTTTACATACCTTTCTAGAGGAAGTGTTGTCGGAACATGTGGCAATTCTTCTTCCACCGAATTTGGGTGGCTGAATAATTTCTTCTTCTCTTCTTCCGTGGCAGCGATCGAAAGCGACGACATCACTTCCGAGTCTGGTGACGTATCGTTGCTGTTGGCCGAGTGCACCGGATCTTGTGATCTGGTTAAGATAATTAAACGTATTTAGAATACACTTAGATATTAACTAATGATGTTATTTCAGGGCAAAAGACTTGTTCTTTATATTTTACAGTATTTCGAATAAAAATTATTTACCTACTGAATCCGGGTGATAATGACGACTCTTCGAGTTTCACTAAATTATTTGTAATTTTGCAATCACCAATTTCGTTACTGTTCCAAATGTCATCTTTGATGATTTGAATATTTTGAACGGTATCATCAACAACATTAACTTTGTCCATTGATTCTACTAGCACTTTGTTATGGTGCGTTACCAAATCGTCGAATATTTTTTTATTCGACACGGTTTCTATTTCTACTTGCTTAGGTTCATATGAAACGTGAACAACTGCCCTTGTGATATTTGAATCTGAATCGCTTACAACGAGTTCGTCAAAACTATCATTAGGGGAGTGCAATGGAATTATAACCGTATCCTTTTCTATCTGAAAATCATATTACCACTGTAACGTTTTATCATTCAAAAGTTTTTCAATCATTCGCTCGGCACTTACATCTTGATTAAATTTGAACTCTACATTAGTGAATTTCGGATCAATATCAACAAACTCCGACGCGCTAGATCGTTTTGGAGATTTCTTGTTAATACTTCTAAAACTGCTAGCTCGGTGTAGAAGTGATCCCAACAGCGAACGACTTGATCCTCTACGGTCCTTAGATTTATCCATTGTACCTAAAGTACATATATTTTATAATGCCTTCCCGGACTGAGAAATCTAGTTAAATGTTAGTAGATAGAAAATAACACACGGAAAACTAATTGGGATGGCGAACGAGTAGGTCTCTGTACGTCTTCAACGAGAGTGTCCTTCCTCTGTTGATTCTTTCGCATTTCAACACCCCAGGAGGACTTATATCCGATATACACCATCATATATTATACAAGTGTTTGAAAATACCACTATGGAATTACTAAAATCTCTCCTAAGACTTATCAAATAACCGTTATAGTTATAAATTATGTATTATCATTTATATTGCTTAGTTTAATTTTTACATTTCAACTAGATCATGAGTTCTACGCGCCAATAGTCTAAACTGTATGGCCTAATCTAAATTATATATATAATTATGTTCTAAGGACCTATGCCTAAAGATCTATTTAGTGTAATTTTTATCAAATTAATATTTTTAATCGTTTAAGTTTAAGAAAATATATACATTGCATACCTATTAAAACAAAACAAAAAATATTACTACTCTGAATTTTAAATATTCTGTTATGCTCATACTTCATGTTTATCACGTTTAGATGTATTACAATTTTATATTTTTTAGAAAATATGATCGAATTGAGTTAAATAAGAAACAAAAAATAAATTCTCTTATTTTTATGAAAATACTGATTTAGTTATGTGCCAAATTTTAGAAATTTATTTATTTTTTATGAAACAAGTTGATTAATAAAGTTGAAGTAAAATATATTTAATGTAATTATTTACTTCTTAAAACTTTCCCATATAACATGAAATGTAGTGATTTTTAAAAAGAGATTATATTATTGAAATACCATGTTAGTTATGTTAATATTTTAACTTTCCATGTTAGTATGGGACAATTATTATTTAGATGCTATATTAACAAGTGTAAATATAATAATTAGTTATCACGATCAGCTTATCAAAAAATATATTAATCTGTTATGCGCACTATAAACAGCAGTTAAGAAAGCACTGGGTTATTATGATTTGTTTAATAGCTAAAAAAAAAAGTAAGGCGCCGAACAAAACCGTTTTTGGGGAATTTTATTGGTTACCGGTTTTCGGCCTGGCTTCCTTGGAAGATTCGGAACGCCTCCTGAGGATCTGAGCTTGCGATGAAGAGACAGATTGTAGCTGACCTGAATCGTCGTCTTCGCTTTTAAGTGGTATGATTTTCACTAGATCGTCAGATTTAGGTCTTCCTGAATTTTTTATGACTATTTGTTCCGGCGGTGGACTTCCAGGTGTACAATGTACTTGGACTTTAATCATTTGTTGACTTTTTGCTGGTGGCGCAGGATCACATATTCTTCTACCTGACGAATCGTCGTCTGGTTCACTTATAAACTTTTGGAATTCATCTAGAATCCCTGGACTTATAGATCTACTACAGGAAACTTCATCTGGGTGTAAATCATTATCGTGTTTTCTCGGTGGTGGTGCTGGTAGTAAATCATCATTACCTTCTGGTTCTACAATGAATTTTTGAAATTCTTCATAAATACTTGGTGAGATCGAACGAATGTTACTTGAAGTCGACAATGAAGGACTACCTTCAATAGGGTTTTTGTATGCTGTGTGAGGTAATGTTTTATGTATGATACCTTTTTCTTCATCGTCTGGTTGTGCCATAAATTTATGAAATTCTTCGTGTATTGACGGAGATAACGATCTTCCAAGATTGGGACTATCTGTTAGCCCCGCCCCAACTACAGATTGTACTTCACGGCTCGTAATGGAAATGGCCGAACAACGATTTTTTGTTTCAAGTCTTGTAACATTTATATCTCCATCTTCTGGTTCAGAAATAAACTTTTGAAACTCTTCAAATATTGACGGCGACATGGATCTGGAAGAGCAATCTTGATCTATAGACTTTCTTTTTGTCATTTCAACGCTCATTTGTTTTCTTAACTTTACAGGTTGTATCGGAGCTCCATCAGCCTCTTCATCTGTGCTTGATATGAACTTTTTAAACTCTTCTCTGATTCCTGGAGAGCCTGATCTAATTGGTCTCCTTATTCTTTTAGAAGATTCGATAGTTGCCGGATCTCTATTGATGAAATCCACTAATGTCCGATTTGTGAATGGCTTTAATCGTTTTGGACTAGTAGGGTTTCCAGATCCTTGCTCGGTCGGATCAGGGTTTAATGGAATGTAAATTTGATTTTCTCCTGTAGTTATTTTTGGACGAGATGACTTCTCCCTTGGTATAGCTGTTGGGACTTGTTTCGGTGCATTACCCTGAATTATTTCTATGTCGTCGTCATCGAGACTGTCTAATGGTACAAATTTTTGTGTCTTGGGGTTATCTAGTACGACTTTTACTTTTGAAGTAGGCTTTGCTTTTGTTTTTCTTTCTTTTGATTCATTTTCCATGGCCAGATCTTTTGTAACTTTTATTTCTTTAACCACTTGTATTTCTTTAACCTCTTTTATTTCTTTTGATTTAGTTTTCTTTACTTTTGCTTTAACTTGATCGTTTTTTATTTCTTTTTTGACAGATTCTACGTGCACTTTTTTTGGTCTTTGTTCTGTCTGAGTTTCAATGTCTGCTAATTTTGGTCTGACAGTTGGTTCACTTAGATCGTCGTCGTCGTCGTTGATAGGAATCAGTTGGCGATTTGCAAAGTGTTCTGGTGATTTTGGACCACAAAACGATGTCTCCAAAAGAACTCTATGTGGTGATGAACCTCTGGAAGCTCTGGAATAATTCGACGCAGCAGACAAACGCGATGCTGCAGAAGCTATGGAGGCAGTGGAGTGTACTGATCCTACTGAAGAAACTCGGCTACTACGACCACTAATGCACAGGAAACCGGATTCGCTAGCTGTATCTCTTCGATCAGCAGCAAAATCTGTATCCATAGTCGCGTCAGAAACCTGTAAATGAAACAATAAATTTGTATTAAAATTTTTAGCTGTACTAAAGATATTTAGCTACAAGCTAATTTAACAAGCCTAATTTTTTTTATTACTTCACTGTTATATATTATAGTTAGATTATTGATTTTAATACTATAGACGCTCACTGGCCCGTATTTACGAGACGCGAAATATTGACGAAAAATGTATATGACTGTTATGGAACCCATAAGTAATTAATTGGTGACGACAGCGCTCCATAACGGTCACATACATTTTTCGTCAATATTAATTCACGTCGCGTAAATACGGGCCAGTGAGTGATCTATAGTATTAAAATCAATGGTTAGATCTACAAAATAATTACATGAATTTGTATGTTCATTATTGAAAATTTAGTTAAAATTAAGTAGTAAATATAGATTTTGAATTTATTATATTGTATTCTTTTTCAGCTCAACAATTATCAATATATTATTTACATTTTTTTTTTTTTAATAATTATTATTTTATTTTAAAATTAAGTATTTATAATTAAATTATTTATGATTTACTGATTTGAGGTATGTAATTATTAACTACCTGTACTCTTGTTAAAAAAAAACATTTTATTTTTTTAAGAAGAAATATTTTTTACCCACCAGTGACATTTTATTAAATCCATATTTTTAATGTTTTGATAAAAATTAGATTAAATATAGAGTAAAATGAGTTTGAATATTCAAATGTATATAGTATGCAGAATAACAATATTAATATAGTTCAAAGGTAGTTCGATTTAATAGTGTTACTTGTTTGAAATTGTAATCAGAGAATAGGATTAATTTGTTATTAATGTTAAAATAATACCGCGTATTGGGGCTGCAGTTTTGACCGCCGCCTTCTGATTTCCGATTCAGTTAAGTCGTGAAAGTTTAATTCTTCAGTACTGCTATGGAGGTCAGGTATAATCTCTTCCGTATATCCTAGACCAGATTTTACAGATTCAACGGATTTTCCGTCAGCGTCTAATACAAACAAATAACAATAAAAATAATTTAAAAAACATCATGTGATAAACAAAAATCAAATTATTCCCAAATTTTGTACATCCCTATCACACGCTTCGGTTGATTTTTAATTATATTAAACACGTTTTACTGCGTTTGTTAAACACGCAATGTTTACCCATGCACACTGAAAAGGTTTTTTGTAAAGCTAAAAAAGTAATATCTGGTAATTATATCTGTCAAACTCTTGTAGAGTATTCCGTTTAATTGGATATAATGTTTGCCAAGATTATATCATTATAAACATTTAACCGGCTGATAAACGGGTCTGTTAAATGTCTAAAATTCGCACCCTTCTTCCTACCGCAGCTGGTATACCATACTAGTATCCATTATTTTTAGCTATTACGTACTAAAACGTTTTATTATAAACCTTGCTTGAAATTCACTTTTGATTTCGACGGCCAAACGAGATTTGAGTTTTGGCCGTAAACCAATAAAAAAAAGTTGAAATATACTCGAGTACCACATTCAAGTCTATCTCAGCGGAAATAGGATGAAGGAAAAAGGAGCTCCAAGCGCCCGTAGGTCTTTTAATTGTAATCGTGGCAAAGTATGTACATACATACCTTTTACGACGTCATTAAGGAACGCAAGGTAACGAATTCGTAAGACTAATAACCCAAATGGTGGGATGCGTTTAGACCAGCCTTACGTTTAAAAAACCTCAAAATTAAAATCACACTAGTTTAAAAATGAAATTTCCATTTTATAATAAATCATAAAAATGTAATATGTTACTGTTGTATATTATAATAATACATTTATTTATATTTATTTAATTTTTATCCTTTTTATCCTCTCTCCTTCCCTCCTTACCCATATATTAATACCTCAATTACTAAGTTAAGCCAATCTGACTTACAAAAGTAACAGAAGTATGGACCGAGACAAAAAAAAGATTTAGTATTGTCGGTTTTTTGGGATTGTAAAAATATAATCTCACGGCGCACCTGTTTTTTACAATATTACAATATTTTAGGTACTTAAACTCACCGACAAACAAGTCTCTCTCGGGACTACTGTCGTCGTGATGCGAAGAACTGCTGGCTCGAGAGATGTCTATCCTGGGGGTGTTTGGCATCGCCAAACATATCGTCTGTTGTCTTGACGCCTTGGCCGGCGTGTTCGGCACTTCCTCGATGTCTTCCAAACATTTGTTTTTGGCGTCAGCTTCCGGGCTGTCTAATAAATCCTCACTGAGATCTTCGGACGAGGCCAACGGAGGCAATTTCCTCACGTGTTCCGCACGCTTGTCCATGTCACGCTAGCGGCACGGTTGCCTGAAACCATCATTGCACAGGTATTTATATGACATTCATGAACATTATATTACTAGTACTAGTCACGTTCAAGTTAAGGTATATTGATTTACGACATAAAAGAAAAAAACCGTTTACTATATAGTTTCTTAATCGCGTCGAATCTGGCCCCTCAAAAAACAAAAAGATGGTACACCTAATTCCTATGTTATTTTATTTATTTATTGTTATAACATATCTTTTGAAGGTGCGATGTTTCATACCAATCGAAATTCTACACATTTTTATACTCAACATCACACTCAACTGTGTCTTATTCCTACAGAAGCCATCATATGTGATATATGGTTGACGGTTGTACATTTGTGCAAGACGAAAGTTAATAAGAAGAATGTAGATATGTTAATTATATTATTATTTATTACACATTATGGGAGTGGCATCATTTACAGACATTTGTTCAACATAAATGTGCATTTGTTAAAGGTTATTTATTTATTATGGGCTATAGCGTACTAAGCGCGTACATATGAGTGTGTCGTGTGTGTGTGTGTGTGTGTGTGTGTAGCATCGCTTTATCGATCCGTGGGACATCAGAAAGTCCCGACGACCTACAAATCGGCCACATTTCGTACGTTATACACATGTACCTGCTGACATTCAACGAATTCTCTTCGTCTTTGCACTGCGGTTAAAAATAACATCGAAACCGTGTCCAAGTCATAGAAGAAAGGTTTTTTTTTTCAAAGAAATATTTCAAGTTCGCGTTGACCTATATGGGATAGGTCTACCCAATCGCCACGAGTAGGTGTCAAAAACGAACGAAACGAACAATAATAATTTAGGATTTTTGACACATGAATAATGCAAATTTATACAAAAGCATATTTCGTGTTAATAATGCACTTATATGAATGCACTTCAAAATAATGTCATTAAATGTACAAACGAAACACTCTAAAAAGATGTATTGGTGAATCCCCGAGTATTGAGGTCAAGTAGATTCAGTCGCCTAATTGCACATATAAAATATGAATTGTACCTGGACCAACGGGTGGGGTGAAATCTAATACCTACCTCTTGCTATTTTTTCACCTCCACTAATAAAAATCAATAGCACCTGAAGTATTATCTTGATTTCGATCGGAAGCCCTTCAATCGTTATATTACTATTATATTAGTTGTTACACTTGTGCCTTGTATAATACATTTTTTGAACTCAACGATTGTAAAGTTCAATTATTACAAGATAATTTTGCAATTTAAAATACGAGGTAAATATCATTTATTATTTAATTTTCCTAAAAATGCATTAGTTCGTTTGAAAATTTCTGTTTAAATAATAAATATGATTAGTTTTTTATGCTTACATTATTTAAATCAATATATTTATTTTCAATATTAAATTTTTAATATAGCCACAATGGTATAATATACAATATAACATTTTTAAAGATATATATTTCTATTCGCTATAACATAATTGTTATTTGAAAGTACAAAACCTAAGTAACCTAAGTACAATACTTAAGTTATTAATTAATGTATAACACATAAGAGATTACAGTTGTAACCTGTAGAAGCATAATTAATAATTTATCGCATTAATAATGTTCTGTATATTGTAATATTGTAAGTTTAGGTACCTAAAATAGAGACTTGAGATATAGTTTCACTTAGAAATAGAACCATTAACGATCACTATTTTCAATATCCCGAAAATGTTACTTAATTAAATTAATAATTTATAATAAGATTTCTCAATCGAACTCCAAAAAAGATAATATATACGCCTATCTAAAATTATCAATCATATGGTTTATTAGAATTACTATTTCAAATGTGTCACTTTTGGTGATCATTTAATGCAAAATTATACTTAACATTGGTCTACTAATCGGCTATTTATTAAGGCAGTTATGGGACAACAAATTAAACATAACAATGTGTGACCCAACAAAATATTTGTATAAACAAAATATAATGTGATTAATAAAATATAAAACTACAGGTATTATAATAAATATTTACATAAACTTTGAGATACTGCAAAATTATTCAACTTAAACTCAAAACACAGCAGTGTTGAAAAATGTGTAAAAATACAAATAAATAATGTCATAGCGTAAATGATAATACTAAAATCCTTTTAGATTACATTTTGTACACGATTCGTGATTTAAATAATATTTACATTGGTCAAAACAACAAAATATAAATATTTACATAAAATGTATATTCAAATGTGATGTTGCCATGTTGGGGTAGAGCATAATGCTCTTTGATACAAAAAACGCAGATATTCGTTAACTGAGAATTATCATTATGCGTAATGCATTACGGAATTAAATTAATCTAATTATCTCGAATTGTTGATTAGCATTTGTTTTAAAATGTTATAAGCCATAAGGTAACATAAAATATTTAAATGTATAAATAATCAATGCGTACGATTTTATTTGTGAGCCACTTTACATAGACCATAGACATAAATAAACATGACAGTGGCATGTCAACAAATTGTATGCATGATATATATACTGGAATTGTCCGAGTGCTGAATAATTTATTGGCAAACGACCCTAATATTATATTATCTTTTGTATTGAATGGAAAAGGGTTAAACCTAAGACATATACCCACGATAAAATAAAATATATCCGGTGTCGTCAGGTACGTAATTAAAATGAATGGTCTTGATGGAGAAAAAAATCCCGTTATAATTTATTAATCAATGCTTATCGTCAACCATGAACTAAATGAAAATATAATAATAGAACAGTGTACCTACTACGTTTTTTTTAAAAATAATTTTCTTTGTTATTAAGAGGCATTCAATATTGTATCAATATAATTTTTCAAGTGGTATTGAACCTGCGAGCATTTACACAAACATTAGTATTTTATTTTGTACGACTGGTGCTTTAAGATTTATCGTTTATAATATTATACTCACACAAAGAATATTATAATGTACAAAACCAGAACGATACAATAATAATAACAGATTACTGTGCGTAATGTATTTTTCGTTCAAATTTAAGATTCGAGAAAAATTCAATTAAGATTTTTGGTCGTTAAAATATAATTGGTGTGCTCTATATTGGTAGTTACATTACGTTTAAAAACGTATCATCCCAGTTGTGTGGCCTTTATTAATTTGCGTTTCTCTGTCCTAAGCACGATATGATCATAACCATAATATAATTATTATTTAGGTATATATTTTAAGCGCTGGGTAAAAGTAGAACTTTGAGCAAGATTATTCGATGCAGATACACTAAAAATATATAAGTTTAACTGTTTCAGGACTTTTTATTTTATTTCACTAGAACTGTGTAATTTTTAATTTAAATTTGTGAACTATTATAATATTATTATATTTAACGAATAGGTACATTTTTTTTATGATTAAAAAAAAACCAAATGACAAACGTAGCTCAGGACCGTATTCAAGGGGAAACCTGCCCCGGGCGTCCAATTTTTGATACATTTAGGAGCCAGGCGCCAGTGTAATATTATATAAATTTAGTTTTTTTTTGTAAGAATTGGTAAGAATTGGTACCTATGTGGAATTCTGCATTGAATGACTATGATACGGCCACATGGCGTAATTTACTCATTTTGTCAATCAATGATAACCATTCAATTTTTTTTATAGTTTACTGCAATTGTATGTTGTTATACATTTTGACAATAATTAAAACAATGTATCATCATTATCTGTGTTTTCAATAACATTGTCATAAATGAATAATTATAACTAAACAATTAAAAAAGGGTTAATTTTTTTTTTTTTTTTTGGTGGCGGGCGTACAAATATTGTCGACCAAGGGAGCAAAAAGTGTGAATGCGGCCCTGATCACGTTACTCGATATTTTCCACTTTGGAGAGAATGAACGAATCATAAATATATATTAGTACCTATAAGTAACCATGAATTGTATATTACCTAGTGGGAATAAGGTAATTTTCTCATTTTATCCGTTTCTATGGTGACAAACAATGCGTAGTTACTCAAAATCGGTTAGAAAATGAAAATATCTGTTACCCAGCCCGAAAACACGATATTTATGTTAATTATATAAAATAATATTTCGTTATTGATATAATTTCGGGAAAACCGTATAGTGTGTTCCTATACTTACAAGCAGACTTACTGCAGGTCTCGTTTATGCGCATTGAAACATCAATATCAATATAATATTATGTTAAAATATGCAGTCGTTCGATCTCACCACGTTGTGTCTACTCGTCATGCCCATCATCAATCTTCCGGCTGTATATTTCGTATTATGTTCCACGTTCAATACATAATAATATAGCTGATGCTGCCGTTTTGCGATTAGTCGGAGATACGTGCAGTACGTTCGGTTTAAAATATATGACGACGGTCGCCGGGCAAAATCGGAGACCTGCAGCGAGGGTATCCCTCGGCCGCAATAGCCACCCCACCCCGTGGAAATTTAACACCCCGTGGCTAAGGGTTGCTCGTGTATAGATTATATGGTTACCGGAGTGATAATATAGATCGCAGTCATTATAAGAGGACACCACACCCACGTCCGTATAGTTTACTCCCGTCTAGAGACGTTTGTTTTTTATTTTAAAGGGATAGTTATGAACATTTTTAAATTGCTTTTTTTTACATTTTTACATTTAACGCTTATATAATTCGTTTTGCATCTATAATGTATCGTAAGACACTATACCCATACAACAAAGACAATTTTGATATCTTTACTGAATTTTACACACGCTATTGTAAGACGCGGAGACAACAAACTCGAGGGTGTGGCATGGGTGCACAAAGAATATATTTTTGAAGAGAGAGGGAGAGGGAAATAAAAAAATTCCCAAAATGTCAGCTAAAATAAAAGTCTTACGTACCTAAGTTTACGAAACAATAACAATAACCGTGTATAATTGTATAATTTACTTATTTCATGTATCCTAATAGTGATTAAGAATTTAAGAATAAACAAATTTTGTGCGCTGT